TTAAAAAGGACCCAAGGTGGCTTGCATCCTTAAAAGCACAATATCAAAAAGCCAAAAACAGCAAATTATTTAAATATTAAAGAAGAATTAATAACAATCTGATGGTTTACCCACTTTTGTAGTGTATACAGGTCTCATTTGCTAGTATGCCTGTTTAATCACAGAAGTCTAGTTTTGCTTATTACATTCAATCAAACACAGAAGACTAGGCCTCTTCTATCTCTGTAAAAAGGGAACTGATTTTCTTTTTTCCAGACCATTTCTCAGAAACCCCACAGAATTTGGCTTTCTGCTAGAGGATGAATGTTGATTCCTCTTTCACTTTCCAGGTGAGACGGGTTTACTGGTAGCCAAGATCACAGAGGTGACACCATTTGTGGGCTATGCCGGAGACCGAGAGAAGACAGAGAAGAAGATTCTCCGGGATGTCCTGAAGAAAGGGGACTGCTACTTCAACACGGGTGACCTCCTCATGCAAGACCGTGAAGGCTTTCTGTATTTCCAGGACCGGGTGGGAGATACTTTCCGGTAAGTCTCACTGCACCTGTACAGGGTCTGGGTGACCTGTTACTCTGTGCTTTGGAAGAGCTGGGCTGAGGACTGATGTATCTGCTGCTAGTGTAGGGTATGCATAGAGATATCTTATGTTGCTTTCATGGTAGTAAGTCTCACTGTATTCAGTGGGATTTACTCTCACTTAAGTGTAGAGTGTATAGGATTGTAGTTACAGGAAGGAATTGGAGTTTGCTTGATATGAATAGTGTTTTTGGATTTATACTATATCACTGTTTATGCAGTAACTCATGTTCTTTGGGTAATGTACAGATTTAAAAAGTAAAATACTGTAATTCCCCATATCCGTGGGGGATCAGTTCCAAGCCCCCCCGAAGCTGAAAGATGCAGATTACAGTGGTGCATTATTTGTAGCTTGGTGATGGACATTCATATTTACAAAATTCAAGAGCAAAAGAAATCCAGAACTGAAAGCTCTTTTCTGCTTGCAGCTGGAAAGGCGAGAATGTGGCCACTACAGAGGTTGAGAGTGTCCTGGCAGGGCTGGACTTTATTCAAGAAGTCAATGTTTATGGGGTGCCAGTACCAGGTAGGCCTGAAATAATTTATTTTTGATATCGCATTTAATGTCTGAAGTTACAATATCTTTATCTGCAAATTCTAGGACATTATGCAAGAGCAAAGCAAAGAGACTCATGTAGCTACTCATTCCTCACTTAGAAAAAGCAACCACTGAGGTTCCCCCCCCCCCACTTGTTGGTGTGTAATGTGTTGTTCCAACATTAAAATAAGCCTTGGTGGTTTGTTTCAGGGCACGAAGGAAAGATTGGGATGGCTGCTGTACGGTTGAAGGAGGGGCTCACCTTTGATGGGAAGAAGCTGTATGAACACGTCAAGGCTTCCATGCCAAACTACGCAGTACCTCGCTTTATCCGCCTCAGGGTGAGAATTTTTTCTATTGCCATGCTTTCTGCTTTGCTCCCCTCCCTTCGAATAATAAATAAGGTGCACAAATGCAGAAGGTTGGCTGTCAACCAGACAGCAATTTTTTTTTAATCAAGAGTTATGGATCTCTGGCTTCGCTCTGCCGTGTGCTCAGGTCAGCATCAGGAATTGAATACCATCAGAGATATAAAGCTCCGTTCTAAGCATTATTTGTAGCTTGGTGATGGACATTCATATTTACAAAATTCAAGAGCAAAAGAAATCCAGAACTGAAAGCTCTTTTCTGCTTGCAGCTGGAAAGGCGAGAATGTGGCCACTACAGAGGTTGAGAGTGTCCTGGCAGGGCTGGACTTTATTCAAGAAGTCAATGTTTATGGGGTGCCAGTACCAGGTAGGCCTGAAATAATTTATTTTTGATATCACATTTAATGTCCGAAGTTATAATATCTTTATCTGCTTTCTCCAAGCATTTGAATGGAAGATGTTGTTTGGATAGATAGCATTGTCTGGAATAGTGGTTCCTAGCCTTGGGACCCCAGATATTCTTGGACCACAAGTCTCAGAAACTCTCCTGGCCAGCTCAGCTAGTGGTGAAGGTTTCTGGGAGTTTTTAGTCCAAGAACATCTGGGACCCCCAAGGTTGGAAACCATCTGTCTAGAGACCATTTGTTACATGTATTCTGTGAATGACTCCGGGTGATTGTATTGTGGAGTGGGGAAGCCTCCTCTAGAAGAACCTAGGAAGAACAGTGAACGCTTTCCTATTTACTTTAGGTCTTTGCCCAGGGAACGCCAGTCATTTCTGTTTTGATTTGTTCCTCAGCACTGTTTGATCACCACTTACCTCTGACCTCCTGGAACAGTTCCTGGTTCCCCTTTTGTTGCTTTAGGATCCAGAAGTGCTCTCCCAAGCAGGGAAATATATTTAATTATGTCAGAGCACATGATCTTCTTCATCCACAAATCTTGCGTAATGCTTTCTTTTTGTGATTGGTTATTGGAAGGTAAACACAGGTTTAATTTGCAAGTCTGATTGGTGTTGCAGGTGTCTTGGAAGAAATCCTGTGGTAGACGGAAAACACGTTCATTGGTGAATAAGGTTACTTGTAGGAAATATATTTTCTTCTTAATGTCTATAATGACACTGTGGTTGCACACATACATGCAACTTCAAAAATTAAGTGTCATGTTTATGTTGGTCAGAGCACAGCATTCACAATTCAGGGTGCAATTAATTATCCCTGCACTCAGGTAAATCTGCTGTCCAGAATTCCCTTAGCTTTGCAGGACTCTATTTGGATGCCTGTACTGAGAACCCGGTCAGATAGCTTATATAACTCTCTTAACACACCTGTTGAACACTGTCATAGAAATGCAAGTCCGCCCTGTATGAGACATTGGAAGGTGATAAAACACAGTTAAAAGGTGGTACAACATTATTTCTCCAGAGATACATTCCTCCAAAGCAGCAGTGCCTGCCCAGTAAGACAGACAGATGAAACTTATGTTTACATCCTAATGAAAAATCACAAAACAGAAACAAGCTGGTTATAATGATCCTTTTCAGGGGTTTCCAGGTAGAGAATACTAAGAGGTAGTTTACCATTCCCTCTTTCTCAGGGCATCTCGGGACTGTGCAGCTTTCCTAAGGCTGGCTCTACTCACAGAAGCCAGAGTGGGGAATTGAAGACCTCTGGCTTTGCTTAGGCAAACTCTGGCTTGAAGCAGCCTCCTGGTTAACTTGCCTCACAGAGATATTAGGAAAATGAAATTAGAAGGTCTCATATATGTTATCCTGAGGCAATTAGGGACAGGTGAAGCCTTCCTAGCAGTAAGGCCTTCTAATCTACACCTTAATTGCTATAGAGATAAAAGAGTGGGGGTGGTGCTTTCTTATTCATTCATTATTCATTTATAACATTTCTAGAATACAGTGGTGCCCCGCTTTACGACGTTAATTCGTTCCAGCAAAATCGCTGTAGAGCGAAAATGTCGTAAAGCAAAAAAAAGCCCATTGAAATGCATTGAAACCCGTTCAATGCGTTCCAATGGGTTGAAAACTCGCTGTCCAGTGAAGGTCCTCCATAGGGGCAGCCATTTTCGGTGCCTGTGCAGCGAGGAATCTGTCCCTAAGCGGGGGGCCATTTTCTTCAGCTGGCGGCTATTTTTAAACCTGATGATCAGCTGTTTTTGATTGTTGTAAAGCGAAAACCGGTTCCCGAAGCAGGGAACCGATCATCGCAAAGCAGAAAAACCCCATTAAAACCATCGTCAAAACCTCACTGTCAAGCGGATTCGTCGTTAAACGGGGTAATCGTAAAGTGGGGCACGACTGTACATTCATCCACAAAAGCAAATTTTAGGACATTATGCAAGAGCAAAGCAAAGAGACTCATGTAGCTACTTATTCCTCTCTTAGAAAAAGCAACCAATGTCATTCCAACATTAAAGTAAGCCTTGCTGGTTTGTTCCAGGGCACGAAGGAAAGATTGGGATGGCCGCTGTACGGTTGAAGGAGGGGCTCACCTTTGATGGGAAGAAGCTGTATGAACACGTCAAGGCTTCCATGCCAAACTACGCAATACCTCGCTTTATCCGCCTCAGGGTGAGAATTTTGTCTATTGGCATGCTTTCTGCTTTGCTCCCCTCCCTTCACAGGAATGAAACAAGACATAATCTTATTCACAGCCTTAGTCCATGTGTGGGTTTTAGACATAGAAAGAGCATGCGTAACGCACCCACAGCCTAATTGGACTCACGTTGGGGTGCAGGGGCTTTAATCCTTGGCCACCATCAGTCATAACTGGGAGATGAAGCACACTATACATCTTCTAAACATGCAGGGGTGGGCAGAAGGTGTCCCTGAGGCTTTATTTTTAGGTTGTGGTCTCCAGTTTGCATCAGACTTCCCTGTCCTCAGGGTACATTAGTTGTTTTTTTGGATAGTTGAGTATTTATAGATTTGGGATCAGCTTTTGTCCTTTTCAGGAGATGGGTGATTGTGGTGATCAGCTTGTTTTTTTTTTGGTTGTGGATGTATTGTTGTGATAAGGAGGAGAGATGATCTGTCACTGTGATTGATGGGTGTTGTTAGCTGGTCTTTTGTATGCAGTGGCTGGGTAGAGTTTGTTGAGCTTTTGTAGGCTGTATTTTTCAGTGCTGTGAGCCAAGCTTTGTTGAGTTTTAAACTTTCTTCTTTTTTGTTGAAGCTCTGCTGGTGTTTGTGGATGTCAGTGGCTTCCCTGTGCAGTCTAACATAATGATTGCTGGTGTTGTCCAGTACTTCTGTGTTTTGAAATAGAATTTCATGTCCAGCTTGTTTTAGGGCATGTTCAGCTACTACCTCTTTTTCCGGTTCTTTTAGTCTGCAGTGTCTCTCATGTTCTTCGATTCTGGTGTGGATGCTGCGTTTTGTGGGTTCCAGTATATACCTGACCACAAATGCAAGGGCCCTACAGGCAAATGGCTACTCCAAAAATGAAATCTCAAGAGCCATCAAACCAAGAAAACAACACCAAACTGAAGAGGAAAAACAGCCACCCACAAATAAATTATTTCTGCCATACATCAAAGGGGTGATGGACCGCATGGGGAAACTTTTGAAAAAAACACACCTTATAAACAGTATTCAAGCCCACCACAAAAATACAACAAATGTTACAGTCAGCTAAGGACAAAAAGGATCCCCTCACCACTGCAGGAGTATACTGGATACCTTGCAGTCGTGGCCAGGTATATATTAAGTGCGAAGTACTGCACCTCGGAAAAGGAAACCAAATGCACAGTTACATTTGTGACCCCATGGACCAGAGCACGCCAGGCCCTCCTCTCTTCCATTGCCTCCCGGAGTTGGGTCAAATTCATGTTGGTAGCTTCAATGACATGATAACACTTTTCAAATACTTGAAAAGCTGCCATTCAGAGGAGGGTCAGGATCTGTTCTTGATCATCCTAGAGTGCAGGACATGCAACAATGTGCTTAAGTTACAGGAAGCCAGATTTCAATTGAATATCAGGAAAAACTTCCTGTTAGAGCAGTAGAACAGTGGAACCATTTACTTCGAGAGGTGGTGAGGGCTCCAACACTGGAGGCATTCAAGAGAAACTTAGACAACCACCTGGCAGATATCCTTTGATCTGTATTCCTGCATTGAGCAGGGGTTTGGACTTGATGGCCTTAATCCCCTTCCAGTTTCACTATTCTGTGATTCTGTGATTCCTTCCTTCTTTTCTTTTTCTCCCCCTCAGCATTTATGGTGGTCCTTCAAGCCCCCATAGAGTCCTTCTGAAGTTATGAACCTTCATACAAAGAGTGAGCCTGAGCACATGCAGAAACCAGATGCACCTCAGAGCAGGATTCAAGTATTGGGACATAATGTTGAAACAGCAGAAGAAGGACAGGAAGAGTAGTCTGATGATGACATGTGGGAGTCAGACAAATGGCATGTCATGTTAGACACCCAGAAAGGAATCTATAAAGGTCTATAAATCTGGGAGGTCTATAAATCTCTGTAGGAGTTCTGGGGGAATCAGGTATCCTTATCGGGTTCTACAGGCCCATGATTCAGACTGGGACACCTCTTCTGTGGGAGAAAAGGGCTAACACTTCTCACCAATTTTAGAAATTCGAGGCCAGAAAAATTTTTCCCCAAGATTAGAAGAGGGAAATTTTTAACTAAAATAAGCATCTGAGTTTCACAGCATGAGCTTTGTTCATCTGTGAGATTATGCAGATTTGCCTGCATTGTTTAGTGATTGGTCTTCAGGATTTAAGAATAGGATTACTTTGTGATGGAAGGATTTGGGCTCATTTGTTTCCTTTTCCCACAGGACACCCTGGAGATCACAGGAACGTTCAAACAGTGCAAAGGTCAGCTGGTGAAAGAAGGATTCAACCCTTCTGTTATCCGCGACCCCCTCTACTTCCTAGATGACTTAGAAAAATGTTATACGCCAATGACTCAGCAGATCTGGGACTCCATTGCAGAGAAGAAATTGAAACTGTGAAAGGGGTGTCCGGGCATATTGTGTGGGCCATTTCCTTACTGGTTCTAGTGGAGCAGGGGGCCTAGGAACAGTATAGTATTGAGCCTCTTGGCTTCTTTCTGAGAAAGAAAGGATTGCCAGAAAATTATTTTTATCTCTGAGATGTGTGTGTATATGTGTGTGTTGAGAATTCTGTGCAAAAAAACAACAACCAAGATCATCTTTATGGAAACATGTGTGAATACGTGTGTTTATAACAGTGCCTTTTCTTTTTCCCGGAAAAATTACACAATCATCTGTGCGCATATGATGGCACAGCAAGTATATGGGGGTATTCATATTCGTATACTATCCCCCACTGGTGCAGATAATGAGGGTCCGGCCCCCACTCACAATTCTGCCGCGCGCTGTTCCTATCACTCTGGAGCTTGCGATCGGTGAGCCACTCTTCAACCTGGCAGAGAGGTCATCCTGCCTTCTGCCAGAAGTGGCTAATCCACTGCGAGCTCCGGAGTGATAGGAATGGCGCGTGGAGCTTGCAGCAGTGGCGGCATTGTGAGTGGATGGTCTGGCCCCAGGGCCGGACCCTCATTATCTGCACCTATGGGGGGGGATATTCATATTTGTATACAAATACAAATACCCCCATCAATAGGTTACTATATATACAAGAAGCAGTAAAATGGGTCCCCTGCCTTCCATGTAACATGGGTCCCTCTTATATGCTTTTGGTGTATATCGTCCTTGTGCACACGGAGAAAGCCTCCTATATGTTGTCTGGATCCTCATGTGAACCAGGAGGCAATAGAGAGAAGGGTCCAGAATCTATTTTCAGGAAAAGAGTTGACCTGACCTTTTCCGATGGACACTTTAATGTTTATTACAGAGGCATATATCCCTGTGTACTTTTTGTAATTAATGGCATTTGTGTGTATACGTTGCCATTTAAACTCAGCCAGGTCACCATTTAAACTCTGAGTTTCCGAAGACGTAGCAGTATATTTATGCAGCTAAATTAGGTACCTCCTGAGCCTCAACTAACCTAGCCCATCTGGAAGGGGATATCACCTCCTCTCCTAATTCTTGCAACGTGATCGGATCATTATACAGCTGGAACAACAGGGGAAAAAAAACAGAATAGAAGTCTTCATTTCAATAGGGCTCTTCCAGTCATCTCAGAATCTGGTACAGGATCTGTTCAGCCTGTTAGATAGGCTAGGGAGATAGTATTGTCACCTTAGAGCAGGGATTCCCAACCCTGGAGTTCCCAGATGTTCTTGGACAAAAACTCCTAGAAGCTTTCACTACTAGCTGAGCTAGGCAGGATTTCTAGGAACTGTAGTTAAAGAACATCTGGGGACCTAAGATTGGGAACCATTGCCTTAGAGCAGTGGTCCTCAACCTTGGGCCTCCAGATGTTCTTGGACTTCAACTCCCAGAAATCCTGGCCAGCAGAGGTGGTGATGAAGGCTTCTGGGAGTTGTAGTCCAAGAACATCTGGAGGCCCAAGGTTGAGGACCACTGTCTTAGAGTATTCTCCTGGGTTAAACATACCCAAGAACTGCTATCAGCCAATGAGTCATCAGCATATACATATCAATCATGATATGGTCAAGAAGAAGCCATTTGCTTGCATATGCAAATGAATCTAAGTTCTTAAGAGATGCTTGCATATAATGTTGGACTCACTGTAATTTCTGCTTGGACCTTAAGGCAAGGAGATCTGCTGGTGATCTTTTCCAGAATTTACAAAAAAACCTGCCAAAGTGTTTGATTGGCAAAAAAAATTTGTCTCACCTACTGCAAAAAAAAAAAAAGATGCTTGTCGAGCAGAATATTGTTTAGGATGATATAGAGGAGGTGTTATCCTTGCTGCTGCTTGTTTCTTCTTCAAAAGAAGGAAGCAATATTATGAACACTGGTTGTTGAGGTTTTTTTTCTTTTTCTTTTGGAATGACACAAATTAGCAGAATACAGAAACAAAAGAAAAAAAGGAACAATGGTGTGGCCCATGAGGAAAATGAAAAATTAGAGTTGGATAACAGCTTTATTGAACCACCAAACATTACAAAAAGAATGACAGGCTCTTGTCGAGCAGAATATTGTTTAGGATGATATAGAGGAGGTGTTATCCTTGCTGCTGCTTGTTTCTTCTTCAAAAGAAGGAAGCAATATTATGAACACTGGTTGTTGAGGTTTTTTTTCTTTTTCTTTTGGAATGACACAAATTAGCAGAATACAAAAACACCAAACATTACAAAAAGAATGACAGGCTTTCAAGTTCTCCAGAACTTTTCATGAGCTTCATGGTGCAGTGGTTCAGCTGCAGGACTGCAGCCAAGACTCTGCTCATAATCTGAGTTCAGTCCTGATGGAGTCAGGTCACCAGCTCAAGGTTGACTCAGGTGGGCAATGTGTAGCCTGCATAATTATGTTATAAACCACCCTGAAAGTGTTTTAAGCACCACGTGTATAAGCAACATACTTTGCTTTGCTTCATGAAGGTGGGCAAGAGAGAACCTAGGTTGTGTGAAGGAGCAGAAAAGTCCAGCAACCATTTGGATGGTTTTTCAATGTCTCTTTTTCTTCATCTAACTCCAATTCTATAATATCCAGCCTAACGAAGAGTTCTGGAGAACCCGAAGCTCCCTTTTTTGCGATGTGTTGTAAATAAAGGTTTTAGCAGACCACAATTTTTGAACATAAAAGTATTTCATGGCAGAAAAATCATCAAATGATGTGGCTGAACATGAAGAATTGGTGGTGTCAATTTCCACTAATGGTATCACACGTCCTACCCAACTGTTAGCAGCTGAGGTGTTTGTCCAGCCTCGCCAGACATTTAAAAATCCTGATAAAATCTTAATCTAAGAGGAAAGGGGCTTTTCCAGAGGGAGCATTTGTACCTCTCCAAGTTCTCTGTCAAGCATGGATCTTGCAGGGATTTCTTCCACAATCCATATGACATTCCTCTGATATTCCAGGTACCAATGGAAAAAAAAGGCAGAAAGTGAGAATGAAGCAGGCAGATGACTTTGAGGGATTGCTGGCTTAAGCAAAGCATTAGCTCAGCGCTAGATCAACCACCCAGGAAGTTATCCAAGTAAATACTGCTACATCTGATGAACGTCTGACATAACAGGTAACAGAGATAACTAAGGCCCAGTTTGTAAACAGTCCAAATTTTAAGTCATCAAAGGGAACATTTTGAGCTGGCCTCAGTCCAGCAAAAATGGCAGGTCATCATGTGGCAGAATCCTGTTGCGGATGTATGCATAGCAAGTTAAATCCCATAACTTAATGAGGAGCCAGTCACATTACTGGGCACACACAAGCTGCACATTTGGGCATACTCCTCTTAACGAAACTGGCACCTCATTAATTAGTGGCAACACACTTTTATGTATACATGCATAAAACACTTAAGATGATTCTAGCCAGGGGAATTAAGTCCAGGTAGGAAAGGTGCAACAAACTTAAACTAGAAGGAAAGACAATTTAAAAACAAATAAAATTGACATATATTTTGAAATATTAATTCCATGTGAAATAACACTTTATTTTAGTTCTTATGCATTTCTCTTTCCGACTGTATTCAAAGAAACATACCTGAGGTGCATAACCAAGTAATGCTAGAAGAAAATAATTATTAAAAGAATAAACCAGTGATTTGTGGAGTTATTTGACTATTCAGATGACCATCTTTCCTCAGTTAATGGGGCACTTCAAAACAATTGATTATATTTAAATAATAATAATAAGCTGTTAAATCAATTCCGACTTATAGGGATCCTATTCAGGGTTCTCAAGGCAGAGAGTACTTAGAAGTGGTTTACCATTCCTTTCTTCTGAGGGCACCCTGGGGCTGTGCAGCTTGCCCAAGGCCACCCAGGCTGGATTTTCACCCAGAAGACACAGTGGGAAATTGAACTTCCAACCTCTGGTTCCGCAGCCAGATACCTAAATCACTGAGCTATCCAGCCAGCTTGATTATATTTATATCCAGCTTTCTAATTGCTAAGCTTGGGATGTCATGCTGGTGTCAGAAGAAATGGATTGTGAGCCACGAAATCTTACATTGAAATAAATCTATTGGTCCTACAGTAATATGGGGTGGGGCTTGTGCATTTGTTTATCCATGCATGAGGATCCCAGGGTCTCTCTACTCATAGAATCTTAGAGGATCCATTAATCAGAAAGCTAAAGCAGTATATTCTTGTCTCATACATGGGAACAGGCTGAAATAGACCCAGGAAATCATATATTTGAGTAGCTTGATCCTAAGGAGAAACAAGCATTTTTTTTTAAAAAAATTGGAGACAAATGCCCCCTCAGCCAGGAAAAAAGGGGCAAGATTCATAGTTAGAGAATAACGTTCATTGCCCTTCAACCGTTGGTTGTCTGTCTTGCAATACTATAGAATAGGAGTGGATGTCGGCGCGATCAGGGCAGTAAAAGCTGTGCCCAATTCAACCTACAGTGATTGAATTTCCACTTTTCCATTTGTATCTGTAATTGCCAATGGGAGGAGGTGCGGATCTTCCTAGAACCCAACTCGCATGAAGGTGCGAGAGGAAATGTGAAGTTTAAGAACGGACCCCCCACTGAACAATAAGGATTGTTTTGTCAAAGAGGAACATAAAAGATGCGGTGGGGTGCTTAATACAGTCCTGGAGCTAAAATTCTGTAGATCCAAGGGAAAATGGGTAAAGGAGATTCTGGCGATCAGGCTGTTGGGCTTCAGTGCAAAGTTCATTCACTGTGCCCTGAAGATCTCACACACACACAGATCTAATTTCCCAGACTGTATAAGTTTGCAAACTCAGTGCTTTGTTAAGGTTCCTCTTTTATGCCAGTTTGGTATAATGACTTTCAAAAGCATAAAAGGTGAAGTAGTGCAGGCACAGAAACACGAGGGATAAGAACCTAAGTTTCGTTTAGTCGTTTAGTCATGTCCGACTCTTCGTGACCCCATGGACCAGAGCACACCAGGCCCTCCTATCTTCCACTGCCTCCCGGAGTTGTGTCAAATTCATGTTGGTTGCTTCGATGAAACTGTCCAACCATCTCATCCTCAGCCGTCCCCTTCTCCTCTTGCCGTCACACTTTCCTAACATCAGGGTCTTTTCCAAGGAGTCTTCTCTTCTCATGAGATGGCCAAAGTACTGGAGCCTCAGCTTCAGGATCTGTCCTTCCAGTGAGCACTCAGGGGTGATTTCCTTTAGAATTGATAGATTTGTTCTCCTTGCAGTCCAGGGGATTCTCAAGAGCCTCCTCCAGCACCACAATTCAAAGGCATCAATTCTTCGGTGGTCTGCTTTCTTTATGGTCCAGCTCTCACTTCCATACATCACGACAGGAAAAACCATAGCTTTGACTATTCGGACTTTTGTTGGCAAGGTGATATCTCTGCTTTTTAAGATGCTGTCAAGATTTGTCATCGCTTTCCTCCCAAGAAGCAGGTGTCTTTTAATTTCGTGGCTGCTGTCTCCATCTGCAGTGATCATGGAGCCCAGGAAGAACCTAAGGGGCAAAAGAAAATACTTAATAAGGACTTGGCAACTTCAGTAGCCACAGAATGCTGACAGCTGTTGATAGCAAAGACACAAAACTATGGCTGAAAGTGGAATGGAATGAAATGATCTGGAACAGGGCGTGACTCCTCAGGTCCTCAACATGAAAAGCCCACCGTGGAAAATTTGGTGCATGTTCTACTAGGCCTGAAAGAAAAACATACCTCACCATATAAACACAATAAAGTTATAGTGAACAACAACCAACACAACAAATCTTGTTTAAAAGAGCATGGAAGCCAAAATGTTGTCATTTTGTTAAAAAAAATATCCACTTCATTTTAAGACCAGTAATGTCCAATAAGCCTTAATGTCCTTTAGAATCGCGAGCTCTACGTAGCATCACAAGAGACCACAGATTTACTGTGTCAGATGACCACATCGTTTGTGAGTTGCTGTTAACGCAGGTAGCAACGGAGTGTTGGGAAGAAAGTCTTTGTTAGGTAGCACACTGGTCAGCTGAGCACATTATCCAGTATGGCGGACAATGGAAGAGAATGGACAGACAGACAGATATTAGGGATCAAGGCAGAGGAAGATGAGGGAGTTGTCCACCGAGACTGGGGTGGACTATAGACATGGATGGAATATTGATAGACAGATATATAAAGCAAATGAGTGGAGAGAGGGGGAATCTAAGACAAGGGCAATGAGCACAGATGGTACTAAAATTCATTGTGGATCCAAAATTATTTAGGCTGGTAAGAATACAAATAGGTGTCAAAACAATCACTCCAGAATTGGGCAATGGACAGCAAAATAGCAAATGAAAGTCTGTGTTAGCAAGTAGAAAGTAAGGCATACTGGAGCCAAAACATAGCTCAGTGGTTTAGGCATCTGTTTCCACAGAGCCAGAGGCTGATAGTCCAGTTCCCTGCTGTGCCTCCTTGACAGGGGCTGGACTTGAAGATCCATAGGGTCCCTTCCAGCTCAACAATTAAGATGATGATGATAATGCACGGATGGGAACTGAGCTGGCAGTAGCTAACCAGAAAAGTGATCCTAGTGTTGTGACTGTGAGGTCCGTGAAAATTCTGATCTGGTGTCTACTGTTAAAAAGAAAGAATGAAAAATGAAAAAGAAAAGAAAATTCCATATGAGGCAATGTTAGAAAAGAGAGGAAGAAATGCCAGCATCCTCCCGTTTCTATACATATCCTTAGTGCAATTACACCTGGGATACTGTGCATGGATCTGGTCACTGAAGCTTTGAAAGGATATTGTGGAAAACGCAACCAAATTGTTAGAGGACCAGATCACCTCCATTATGAGGCGTCCCTTCCAGCTCAGCAATTAAGACGATGATGATAATGCACGGATGGGAACTGAGCTGGCAGTAGCTAACCAGAAAAGTGATCCTAGTGTTGTGACTGTGAGGTCAGTGAAAATTCTGATCTGGTGACTACTGTTAAAAAGAAAGAATGAAAAATGAAAAAGAAAAGAAAATTCCATATGAGGCAATGTTAGAAAAGAGAGGAAGAAATGCCAGCATCCTCCCGTTTCTATACATATCCTTAGTGCAATTACACCTGGGATACTGTGCATGGATCTGGTCACTGAAGCTTTGAAAGGATATTGTGGAAAACGCAACCAAATTGTTAGAGGACCAGATCACCTCCATTATGAGGCAAAATTACACATGTTTGGAGCTACTGAGCTTAGAGGAAAAAAAAAAAAGCAAGGAGGGATATGCCAGAAGGCTATAAAATTATGCATGGTATGGAGAGAATAGATAGGGCGAATGCACATACGCACACTCTCTCTTATGTAAGACGAGAACCTGGGGTCATCTACTGAAGCTGCAGGGCGGGAGAGGACCTGTAAAAACATGTACACAGCACGTAATTAAATTATACAATTCACTCCCAGAAGATGTACTGTTGATTGCCTAACTGGTTGGCTTGAACATGGAGTACTGTACCAATATTATTAATTATTAATGAAAGTGGATTAGTAACATTAATCTTTTCCAAGCCAATCCGGAAGGTTGTTGAGCTTGCAGCTCTGTTTCCCAGCGGAAGAGGATGCTCAGGCGTTTTGCACGAGACGAGTCTCCTGTGGCAGCCAGAGGGGGCGCTGCAGAGTGGCAATTTGAGGGAGCAAAGCATGGAGCAGCACCAGCAGGCAAGGGGGATCTCTGCCAATCAAAGTACATAAAGGTTAACTGAGCAGTAACAACACGGTTCCTCTGACCTGCCTGCAGGGACAAAGACGACAACGAGAGATTCCTCCTCATTCATTGGCTCTTTGCTTATTGTCTTGTGTTTTAAATGGCTTGGACTGAGATCTGCCTGCTGCTTCCAGAGTGTTGGGTCTGACTTCTGATCCCAGTCATGCTGGCCCTGTACACAATTGTGCTGGGGCTCCTGATCCTCCTGCCCCTCCTCGGGAATGTTTTCTTTCCCTATCTTTGGCCAGATCTGAGGTTCCTCTTCTCCTACCTGCATATGCGACACAGATGCCGCAAGCGTCTCCAGAGTAACCCTCCCGTTACCTTCTTGGAGGTCTTCTTAGCCAAAGTCCAGAAACATGGAGGAAAGCCCCTGATTCTTTTTGGAGAAGAGGTCTATTCCTACCGAGAGATCGACCGGCGCAGTAACCAGGCGGCCAGGGTGTTCCAGGGCCATCTGGGGCTGAAAGAAGGAGATACTGTAGCTGTCTTCCTGAAGAACTGCCCTGCCTATCTCTGGGTCTGGATGGGTCTGGAGAAGATTGGCTGCACGATGGCATGTGTCAACTATAGCATCCGGTCCAAGTCTCTCTTACATGTGCTCAGGTCCTGTGCAGCCAAAGTTCTGCTGACAACTCCAGGTGAGGACCATGTAGGAGTCAAAAAGGAAGCTTTGAAGCCAGTGTTGTTGGGTGACAGCTCTCTTCAATGCAAGGGATCATGCCCTGTCGGCCCCTACCCCTCTCCTTTTAGATGCATCTTTTCCCAATACTGTACTACTGGAAATAATATATTGATCACTGTGTGTTGTACGTTGAAACTTCAGCACTTATTGAAGCTTTAGGAAACTGCTATATAAGCTTACATAACAAGGCTGTAAACACATACGGTAACAGTAGAGTTGTACTTCAGTATTAATGTTAATGCAGAGTTAGCGCATTGTGCCCTGTGTACAACAATACAAACACAAAGTCTAGTTTTCCAAAGTGCATAAAAGTGTACTATATTAATTGGGAGTTCTCTTTATTAGATAGCAATTGTCTATTGAACTAAATACACAAATGTGTGGCCAATGCTGTGAACTTAGAACCTTTATGGTCTAAATCCGGAATTTCTCTTCCTACCTCTCTGAGGATCCTGAACAAAATCTGTGTTGATGTGATTGTGGTGCTTGTTGCCATGATTCAAAACTCCAGGAAATGGTCTGATATTGCCACACAATACTGGGTCCACGTTGCCAGCAGGAAAAAGAATGTGAAGCTTTACATAACAAAGCGCAGCCTTTAATGGCAGCAGTCAAGATGGTTTACAGATACCCTCTTGTGCTCACTACCATTCATCTTCTTGAAAAATAGCCCTGACAGTTGTTTCATATTTGGATGAGAAGTAGTTAACTGATGAAAAAAGGTGTCAGCTTCTGGGATTTCCCCTTGCTTGGTGTCACTTTGCAAATGTAGCTCTTTTAGAGTGTTCAGCACCTGAAAGCTGCTTTAGATTATACTATCGGGTCTGTTTGGTGAAGGAAATTCAATTCAGAGATCATAGAACTCTATGAGTTTTATTATCTCCTGAGGACTCAGTTGACTGACACCAGGAATTTATAGATGGAGTTCTAAACTAATGGACTTTGATTTCCAAATGGATTATTAACCAGCAACCTGGGATAATCCTACTAATTGCTTAAAACAGATGGACAACAGGGAGTGTGAGGTTGAAGACCTGACGGTTGAGCAAATTGCTACATTTACTCAAAAGGCAATCACATGGCCTGAATAAAGACCTTCCATAATGAGGGCACAACATTTATTGACCTCAGTGTTTTTGTAATGAAATGACAACCATGCATGAAGAAATTCTCAGAATATCATCTCACTAAAGCCCAGATGATGAGACAAGGTAATGATAATGGATAACTCGGCAGGTCCAACACCAGCATAAATGAAATTGATTCATTTCAGATCACGGAGGCCATCAGGGAAAGGGTCTGAATAAAAGGTGACTCAAACGAAGTTTGGATGGCAAGGAAATGATAAATGAACTGCTGGATGACTCAGTGCTTTAGCGAGCTGGTTGCAGAGCCATAGGTTGGGAGTTCGATTCCCCACTGTGCCACCTTGACAGGGGCTGGACTTGATGATCCATAGGGTCCCTTCCAGCTCTGCAGTTCTAAGATGATGATGATGATGATGCCACCAAAGAAGACAGGCATTATATGGATAGTGCTGTATGTGATATGTTTTACAAGGTTTTCTCTACTTGAACTCAGCTCCTCATAACAGTCCTGTGAAAAAAGCTAGGTTGAGAGAAAATGACTGGCCAAAGGTCATGTTAATGAACGTTTGGTTGGCCCGAAGTGTCTGAGCCTGCCCAGGAATAGCATTGAAAGCCCTGACTCTTCTGGTGAGTTCTTTCCCCTTAGCGCACACCCATGGCTTGTTCAGGTGGCACTCCAGGCCCAATAACCTCTTTCCCCTGGAACCAGACACTAGCCCTGCAGGGTAGAACATCTAACCATTTAACTCTGTAGATCAGGGGTCCCCAACCTTTTCCACTCCGTGGACCAGCTGAGGAAGGCAGGGCACCCCCTGCGCTCATGCGCATGCACGAACAAGTGCACACTATCGTACATGAGCAAATGCTGGAGCGCACAGATGCACGAATCAGCTGTGTGGGGGTGAGTGCATTGGGGGGGCGAGGCGTGAGGTCTATCTCTGCAGCCCGGTCTGACTCAGGCCATGGACCGTCACAGGGCCGCGGACCGGGGGTTGGGGACCTCTGCTGTAGATGACCAAGAAGTTAAGGACCAACTGTCTCTACACACAATTCCAATAAGAAGACCAAATGTAGAGACAATTTAATTTTACTGAAAGGGTAGGGGAAAGACAGATTAAAAGGAGAAAATGTGTTTAGAAAAATATGTCAAATTACAAAATAGAGATAGAGCAGTATGAGAAAAAACCGTCACAGAGGAAATAAAAATGGTAATTATCCTACTCTCCTCACCTACACAGGGACTTCTGAGCAGCTGAAAATGTTATTAGAGTCACCATAAGTCAGATGTCACCTGATGTCATATAACATGCACACACACAAATAGCCCCCAAACAGAATCTTGACTTTGTTTTCCTCATTGCCTCTCCCTCCCTTCCAAAGGGACAGGGTGGCTCTGTGGGTTAAACTGCAGAAGCCTCTGTGCTGCAAGGATCAGCAGTTGTACGATCGAATCCATGTGACGGAGTGATCTTCTGTCGTTTTTCCCAGCTACTGCCAACCTAGCAATTCGAAAACATGTAAAAATGTGAGTAGATAAATAGGCACCACCACGGGGGGAAGGCAATGCATTCCGTGTCTAGTTGTGCTGGCCACGTGACCACGGAAATTGTCTATGGACAAACGCTGACTCTCTACGGTTTGGAGACGGGGATGAGCACTGCCCCCTAGAGTTGGACACCACTGTACTAAATGTCAAGGAGGACCTTGACCTTGACCTTTTACCCTTCCAAAGCCTAATGCCATGGCCTTTATTTCCTCACAAGTTTGGCTCATGAATTAAACATTTGTACAGCATCATTCATAGCAAGTATTGAGACCTGAACTGAATGTGTTCCTAAACATCTACTATCCCAAATGTTGTTCCCTGTATCCTGAATTTCCCCAGCTGGTTATTCATAATTAAATCACATTATTCTTAAATATGAAATTTGTAGGTTTGCCTTCTGAGTAGTGGAATCCCCAAATATAAAGATAGAAAACAAGGTCCTATTTTCTTCCTTTTCCCTCCCTTTAAGTCTTAATTGCTTACTTGATTGTGGACCTGTAAGAGGAATTTTGCTAAAATACACAAAGTTTCTCAGGTAAGTTTAAGATTTGAGATTCCATCAAGCTTATTTTCTTCCTTTCTTTCAGATTTTCAAGCTGCCATTGAAGAAGTCCTGCCTGCTCTGAGGGAGAATGGGGTCCAGGTTTTCTCCCTCAGTGATGACTCTCCAACAGAAAGTGTGGAAGGCCTGTTGGGACACATTAAATCCAGCTCAGCTGAACCAGTGCCTGTATCGTGCAGAGCCAACATCACAGCTAAATCCACCTCTCTGAATATTTTCACTTCTGGGACCACAGGTGAGGAGCAAGACTGGCAGTGGTTGTCATGACAAGGACTTGGAAGGTAAAATATACCATCAGACGAAAAAAATCTGTCTTCCTCTATGTGTCTGTCTGTCTGCTCCAACGGCACCCTAGCATTTTTTTTTGTGATGTGCTTTCAAGAAGGTTCATGATCCAGGATTGACAAAATGCCTTACTGTCTCTGGAATGTTTAGCTAAAAAGGACCATAGACAGTCCACTGGAGATGATGGGCTTTCTTGGAGAGCCACTGAGTTAAGAAGAGACGGTACTCGCAGTTTGACACAAATGTAGGAAAGATTCAATTCATATTATCCACACAGGCATGCAGCTTCAAGCTGTGCAGGTTCTTGGGCTGTTTCTTGACCAAGTGCCTTGCTGTGAATTGGTGGTTCCCAACCTTGGGTTTGTAGCATTCAGCCCTGCCCTCACCTGTCCGTCACAGCTGGGCAGTGGAACATCAGCCAATGAGGGGACGGAAGGTGGTGCAGAAGGGGGAGGAGCTGGAATATATAAGGGGGTGTATGATGTAAGAAAGGAGATTTTAGAGAGGCTCCAAGCTGTGCAGGTTCTCGGGCTGTTTCTTGACCAAGTGCCTTGCTGCAAATTGGTGGTTCCCAACCTTGGGTTCCTGAATGTTCTTGTACTAAAACTCCCAGAAGCTTTCACCACTAACTGTGTTGGCACAAACAGTCAGTGAGTGAAGAGTTTGTGTGTATCAGTGAGTGAGAGACCTTGATTAACTTCTTGTGATTAACTTACTTTATTTTATTAATCAAATAAACAAGTTTAAGTTTTGAAGAAACACATGATTCAGTGATTTATTGGTATTGAAACAGCAATACCTGGTGGCAGCTACCTGAGAAGAAGAGTGAGCACTCCTGGAGGCCTGAGTTGGTAGAGGCTTCAGCGTGCCCGCTACAGGGTTCCTGAATGTTCTTGTACTAAAACTCCCAGAAGCTTTCACCACTAACTGTGTTGGCAAGGATTTCTGGGAGCTGTAGTCCAAGAACATCCGGGCACCCAAGTTGGGAACCACTGCTGTAAATGGTCATGACAGCTACAGAATTATCCAGTGGAGATGGCTGGGTCTGAAGCTGTATGGGTGGTGAAACCCATACAGCTTCATCTGAACTGTAAAGGACCCCTCTAAGATGCGCTGAACCGATTTTGGGAATGGGATTCACCACTTGAGATAGCTCCTTTAATGTTCACGTGAAGACATGGAACTTATTCCCCACTCTCACAACATTGGAATCACTACATTCCACTCATGCCACCACAAGTTGTATGCTTGCAACCTGCAATTATATGTTCCAGTTGCCCCATTTTCATTTGGTCCACTTGAGACCTTTAATGTTCACGTGAAGACATGGAACTTATTCCCCACTCTCACAACATTGGAATCACTACATTCCACTCATGCCACCACAAGTTGTATGCTTGCAACCTGCAATTATATGTTCCAGTTGCCCCATTTTCATTTGGTTGGGATATGTCATGTTTCTAGCTCTCTACTGACTACAAGATAACCAGCATTCCGACTATTGAGCCAAAACGTGATTGCTGTGTCTTTTGTTTATTCTTTGAGAGACATGTTTAAAGCTGTTAAATGTGCCCTTCTCTTTTCCTACTGAACTCAAGGGCTACCAAAGGCTGCCATCATGACCCAAACGAGGGTGCTCGTTATTTCCTGCATGTTAGGCCAGGTTGGGATACATTCCAATGACATCATCTATACTCCATTGCCACTGTATCATTCGGCTGCTCTTCTTGTGGCACTTGCAGGATGTATAGAAGTTGGTATGTATGGATAATCTGTGAACCTTGGTGCACTCATTAAGCTATTCTTCCTGTGTGTGGTGCTGCACAAGTGTCAGCCATTCTCAAACACCTGCACTGAATTGTTGCAGAGTTTTGAATTTCTGGTAAAATTCTTTGTGCTATGCAGTACAAGTACAGAGATTTGCAGAAGAGAATAGCTTCAGGTCCTCTAGGTCAGTGGTCCCCAACCTTGGGCCTTCAGATGTTCTTGGACTACAAATCCCAGAAGCCTTCACCACTACCCCTGCTGGCCAGGATTTCTGGGAGTTGAAGTCCAAGAACATCTGGAGGCCCAAGGTTGGGGAGCACTGCTCTAGGTAACCCACCCCTTTCTCATTAACTGGTACTTAAGGTCTCAGTAAGTCACTCTGAGATGTTTGTAAGGGAAAGACTAAAAATATTTCATTACTTGCAGTTGTGAACAGATCAACAACAGACAAACAAATGGCTGGCTGACTGCTTCAACAGACTGAAGAGAGGGAAAAGAAACACTCAGCAGGCAGGCAGGTTATCTCTGAATTCAGAGACAGGAACAAAACATTGGCTAGTGCGGGATAGATTGACAGTCACCCAAACCCACAAAAGTCCCTTCCAGCCAAACAAACTACTGTAAAAACTCCAGCATGAATTGGGGCTTGTTGTTTGAGCTTTTAAACAGGGGCTTCTTTTGGATAAACCCAGGCAAACAGCCAATGTCCCCTTTTCATACTGCTGCTTTAACTCTGCCGCAATTAAGGGCTGACTTCACACTGCCCCTTTTTAAAGAAATAATGTTTCTGGTGAAACACAGCTTTGTTTACTCTGATGGCACTGCCTAAACCAGGTGTCATAACGTTGACCACTGGTATATGTGGATATAAGATCTTAGGATTGCTACTTATAAAATAGGCGCCTAGAGTGGTCTTAACCGACCAGATAGGCGGAATATTAAATAGATAGATAGATAGATAGATAGATAGATAGATAGATAGATAGATAGATAGATAGATAGATAGATAGATAGATAGATAGATAGATAGATAGATAGATAGATAGATAGATAGATAGATAGATACTAGGGTTTGTAAACCAAAAGAGTTTTATTTAAAGAGGAGATCCCTCTGCCCCAAGAATAACTCAGTGAGTTAGAGTACAGTACCTGGCTATCAATCCAGGAGTCAAGAGTTTGATTCCCCACTGTGAATTACAGGAGAAGAGTTAGTCTGTGTAGCCTTGGGCAATCTGCATGATCCCTTACACCTCCACAAGCAAGAACTGGCAATCTACTTCTGAGTACTTCATATCCAGGAAACCTCAGCAAGGATCACCATAAGTAGGAATCAACTTGATGGCACATAGTTACATTATTAATATTTATGAATTATTACTAATAGTAAACATGTAAGTCTACTATTTACTATTTTAAACAAAAATAGGTTTACTATTTTGTATTTTTAATTTACCTGTACACTGCTCAGAAAAGTCTGGTTATCAGATGCTGTACAACTCTGATAAAACAAACAGAAAAGCAAACAGACAAAAAGTATTTTAAATTTGATTATATTTGGATCCAGCTCATAATCTCCATATATAACTTTTTCTCTTAGTTAATATTTTTGTGTTAGAATGAAATTATTATAAATTGTGAATTTCAATATATAGTTAAGGAATCTCATTCAGAGTGACTAAGGGTGTGGTCAGATGGGAAAATAGCTGGTATTATGGATCTCTTAATGATTCATTCCATTTCAAGCCATTTTTGGAGGAATCATATGCTATACAGGAAATCATGACCCTGGTCCATGCCCAGTTTGGAACTTTTTGGTCCAGCAGCAGGGCTACTGCTTTTTGGAGCCAGGCGGGAGTGATTCTTGCACAGATGGGGGGGTTGCTCTAAGGGAGATTGCTCCCAGCAAAGCAACCTTTTCTGGTGTGATCAGATGTGATCCTTTCTCACTGTGTGATTGTATCTTTTGTGGCAAAACAAAATGTTATTCATAATGTCTAAAGGCACATTTGGGTGCTAGATCTAGAATACAATTACTCCTCCTTTAGCTTCAAAATCCAGCACTTCTCATTATTAGTTGGATTTCACATATGATTAGAATAAACAAGAAATATCCAATTTATTCAGCTAACGAACGAGTGCAATACCACCACCCCTCTACAGGTCTACAGGCAAAGGTTGGATAGTCCAAAGTGTGGAGTTGGCTTCTAAAATATAATTCCCTTTAATGCCATCCCACTACATTTCTACGTACTCAGTTGCAATGTTACAAAACACCGCAATACAGAAAGCCAACAGTCACAATTCACAAAGGGTATTCACAAATGAAAGGGCTGAATTATCCAGGCAAAACAAAATCTGTGCCTTTAAAATATTCTTTGCTCTTGACAATCACATACACACTACAGGATGTAGCAAAACAGGAAAAGTAGTGGTCAAATAATCAAATAAAAACAATCTGAATATGCAAATAAATATGGAAAACTGAACTGTGAATGACTGGAAACATCAAATATTCATTTCAATCTGAAAAAAAAGATAGCAAAGATTTCGCCAATGACTGGACCATCATATTAATTCCTTTTGCAATCACAGTAATGCTCAAGATTTTGCCATAAAGACTTTTACCATACATGGAGTGAGGAATTCCAAATGTCCAGGTTACATTTAGAAAATGTGGAGTGTACAGGAAGGGAACAGGGAGAAACTTTCACACATCCCAGTAGAGAACGGGGACAGAAAAAGAATATTTCTCAGAACCTGAGCACAAACAGCAGCAGAATCCAATTCACATGTGTTTCCACATCTGGACAAAGCATCTGAAAAATGAGCTTTGCAAATGTCATGCCACCACAGAGAGGAGAGCAGAATCTCTCTCTGGCAGCTGCCTGCCTCATTTCAGGCACTGCTGTCCTCCAGCGAAGCTCAAGTAGCTAAGTTTAGGAGCAGATGCACTCATTCTAGATGGTTTAGGGCTTTATAAATTCAGAATTTATCTAGAATTTGGAATTGTCCAGGAAACCAATGAATACAACTAGTAACGTTTTTCCTCTCTGTACATTTAATAATTTCTCAGATGTACTACTGAAAATTTATGATCAGATGTCATTGACATTTTTATATATAGTACATACTGGAATGTTACTGGGGCATATTGCACAACTTGTTGAACACCATTCCAGACTAATCCCCTGGACCTCATGTATACTCTACATAGGTGAGGAGGTAGGTGTCATTACCACTGTAGTGATTAATCACTTGGCATATTGTTTTGCAGAAGGACAACGACCGTGACCACCGCGTCCGAATAGCAATAGGCAATGGCATACGAGGGGAAGTCTGGAAGGAGTTCTTGCACCGATTTGGATCCATCTGGATCTATGAATTCTATGGAGCTACAGAGGGGAATATTTCATTCATTAACTACACAGGAAAAATTGGAGCTGTAGGAAAGACTAACTTCCTCCTAAAGGTAATGTCCTAAACTTGAAAGTCTTTGGTGAATGTCCAGAGTATGGAAGTAACTCAGTACCCATCATGAGTTGTTTGTAAGTAATTCCTTTGTGCAATAAGAAACACTAAGAACATTCTGTTACAACTCAGGATAATTTTTATGGTGTAATTAGAACTTTTTCTTAGTTATTTTATAGCCCCAGATCTATTTTTATAGCTGTTAAGATATGTCTTGCACCACAGGTTATATCACTGTGATAGGTGTTTTAAAAAGGAACTAGAAGTATTTATTGCAGTTACATTTGATGAACAACAAAGTAAAGAGCTGTTTTTAATTTTTCAATATAGTGCTAATGATAACAAATCACTATTTAGTATCTTGGAACCGTAATTCTAATTCCTTTAAAAAATTGTTTTCCAAGTTTTATGAATGATGAATTCAGGCATTGAATTTTTGGAATTTTTTTTAACAACATATTCTATAATTCTCTATTCAGGATGTTCCAACTGATAGGGGGGAATGAACCCATACCTAAAAACATCTAAATGTGGCTCATCTGGCCCATGTATCATATTATCATACCATCACTATACTTTGTATTTCCAGTGTACAATCTGGGTGCTGTGCTTTGTAGCCCAAAAGGGGGGGAAGCTGAATCAGGAAGCTTGGGAAAATTTTAGGACAGGAGATAACAATGAGTAAATGTACACAATAAGGAAAGGTAATACCTGTTGGTTGCTCCAGAAAGCACAGGGTGTCGAGAAATCTTGTAAATTGAGCCTTGAACAGAAAATCATACAATGATTTATCAGCAATTAGTAAAGAGCCAGTCAGTGGGAAAATCAAGATGCCACGTGGATGCAAGGATCACTCCAAATACTGTGCCTGTTTAGCATCCCTGTTTAGCATGACAATTACGGACCGTAAATTGTGATTTGGGTGGTATTTCAAAGGAATGGAAGAAATGGCAGTTTCTGTCCAAACAGGATGACAAGGTGCTGCTTAAATGGGATCTAAAAGGGCTAAAGCTACAACAAAAGAGATTTCAGTTAAAAATTAGAAAGGACACCCCACCCGTAAGAGTCATTTGATAATGGGGTGAGTTACCTCAGAGTGTGCTGGACTCTCCTTCACTGGAAATGTTTAAAATCAAGGTTGGGTGGTCACCTGTCAGCAATGCTTTAGTGAGGTATTTGGGCCCTGACAGGGAGACAGTGACCTCCTGAGGTTTCCTAGGCTGCCTTTGTCTGCTATAATTTATACAGACTTTCCTTCAGCCTAGACAGATGCTCAAAAAGTTGCTCATGTCCTTCCTCCAGTGGAAGTTCTGTAGTACAGTTTTGTACTACACTTCCTCCAGTGTCTCCTGATCTTGTCTCTTTGTTCCCTAGTAGAGAGTGCAACAGCCTTGTATCTCCACCTTAGTTATATAGAACTAGGATCCCTGTGATCTTTCCTACTTTAATGTATTTCTTTAATAAAAAGTTTTCTTATTTACCTGAAGAAGATGGGTGTACTGCTTTCCAGGGTAGAGAGTACCTCACTAACTATTCTGCTATTTCAGAGGGCTGAGTCCATTCATTAACTAATCTGATATTTCCAAGGAATGAGTTCATAGCTAACACAGATGAGGATTGAATGAGGAATTTCTTTGGACCAGATTGGGCTGGACAGGTTGTTGTCCATGTCTTCAGCTTTCATTATGACTCCTAGACAAAGATCGTGTGCACTGGAGTCATATGGTTGATTCATAAAATCAATTTTGTTATTTGGACTGGCATTTCTATTTCTTGTCTGTTTCAGAAAGTCACAAAGTTTGAACTTATTAAATATGACATTGATCTGGATGAACCTGTGAGGGATGAGAAAGGATGTTGTGTGCTTGTATCCCCAGGTAAGACTAGTAACGTCTACAATGTGGGTTTTCCCACTAGGCTTTTTTGAAGAGACGTTTTTAAGACAGAAGTCCTATTGTCTTGACTCCTGTTTAAATCTTTCTTCATGGACAAATGATATATATGCCAGATATGCACGGACATTAATGCTTAGAATAAATGACAAAGGTTCTTTTAAGTAAAAAGAAAAGATTTTTTTTGTAGAAGGATATGCATCTTGAGTTGGGGAAATGAAGCTGGGTGCTGTGCTAGCTACATGACTGTGACACAGATAGAACTGGAACAAAGGGAGAAACAGCTTTGTCAGCAGACCCTCCCTCTCCCTCTCCTTCTCCCTCATCTCATCAAAGCAGCAGGGATGAGTGGCCAGTGTGAGGGCAAGGCAGGTGGGCACAGGACAAAGCCTCAAACACAACAATTCTAAAAACTAGTGTAGCCCTTTCAATTGCGATACAACACATCTTAAAAACATACTAAGCTCACCTTAGGTCAAAAGAAGAAAAAAATAAAAAAAATTCACCCCCTAGTGGTAGAGTACGGATTAACTGGCTTTGCATTAGTTCCTATGGGAACTAATGCCTCTACCTATGAACAGTGCCTCGACTTATGAACGGTAAACAGCAGATACGGATTAAATGGTTTTCAATGCGTTCCTATGGAAAAGTTTGCCTCGACTTACGAACTTTTTGATGTACGAACGCCATTCCAATATGGATTAAGTTCGTAAGTCGAGGTACCACTGTACATTTTAATAGTGTAACTCCACCCTATGAAGGGAAAACTAAAGTCACACTGCAAATGCCAATCTAAAGGCAAGGAAGACAACAGTTTAGTCAAGTACTAAAATCTTTGCACAAGTAACAATGGCTAAAATCCTCTTGCTCAGCACAGTAAACTCCACTAGAGTAGGCCCAGTGAATTGGGGGGATTTGATGTATTAACTCATCCATACATTCTATTGACTCAATGGGGCTGCTCTAATTGTAAGTGACTTTGGCATAAGAGGTCACAACTGAGGTAAGAACAGTTCCTGATGTGGACCTTATTTGTATCACCAGCTGCCTTGTCCTTCCTTATAGATTGATGCTGCCAGGCTTGACCTCATTTGCTGCTCTGTAACTATTCCTCTCCTTCTCTTAGTTACTTATTTAGTTTTGCTTATTCATTTAAATAAAATATGATAATTAATAAATAATTATAAACTGTACTTCTTTCATCTCATGACTGCTACATTTTTTCTAGAACATTTCCCAGCAACATTACAGGACTTGGGGTCTATCGTAACCTATCTTTTTGCTATTGGATGGATGTTAGTTGATTCCTCTTTCACTTTCCAGGTGAGACGGGTTTACTGGTAGCCAAGATCACAGAGGTGACACCATTTGTGGGCTATGCCGGAGACCGAGAGAAGACAGAGAAGAAGATTCTCCGGGATGTCCTGAAGAAAGGGGACTGCTACTTCAACACGGGTGACCTCCTCATGCAAGACCGTGAAGGCTTTCTGTATTTCCAGGACCGGGTGGGAGATACTTTCCGGTAAGTCTCATGTCATACTTAGTGGGGACAAGATGATTTGTTGCCTTGTGTGCTGAGAGAAGCAGGTATGCTAGCCTGTTACTCTGTTTTTTATTACATGTCTATTTTAACTTTTTGGTTCTTATATTTTAAATTAGATCAATAACCCCAGTGCATCTGTAATCAATGTAGCAGGTATAGATGACTTGTAACTAGTGGGTGGCACATTCAAATGTATGAAGCCCTATACATATATTGAAAATCAACTGGTTTACTAGATACCCAAAATTAAACCTCAAAGTATGGGTGAGTAGTGAAACATTTAAACAACTAGAATCAGCTGAAAGACAAGGCTAAACAGTCCCATCTTTAAAAAGTTAATTTGAATCTGTTGAAATTAGTGGAAGTATGTATAGGATATGAAAAAGGCATGGACTGAGGCCACACAGAGGTCACATCTATATGTCCCCTCTAATCCTTTATGAATCTGGAGTTACTTCTGTTGTCTCATGTGTTGTTGTTGTTTAGTCATTTAGTCGTGTCCGACTGTAGTGAAACATTTAAACAACTAGAATCAGCTGAAAGACAAGGCTAAACAGTCCCATCTTTAAAATGTTAATTTGAATCTGTTGAAATTAGTGGAAGTATGTATAGGATGTGAAAAGGCATGGACTGAGGCCACACAGAGGTCACATCTATATGTCCCTTCTAATCCTTTATGAATCTGGAGTCACTCCTGTTGCCTCATGTGTAGATCTGGCCTAATCCAGGCTGGATCTGGAGTGATTTTGGATTCAGGAAGGACTCAAAGGGATCTCTTGTGTAGATCTGGCCTAATTCAGGCTGAATCTGGAGTGATTTTGGATTCAGGAAGGACTCAAAGGGACATATAGAGGGAGAGAGAGGAAGCACACACAACCTGGCAGGAAGGAAGAAAAAGCGAGAAATTAGCAACAGAGCTCTTAATATGAACCCTAGCCCAGGATTTTGTCTCTATAGACCACCAACTCCAAACCAATTGCCTCATTCTTCAGAGAGGGCATGCTCAACAGGCACTTTGTAATTGAAACTCACACCAGGTTCCAAATAATCCCAGTTGATTAGAACATTCTTGCTGAAACTGACCAAAATATGATATCCAAGGAGTTGTGGGGGGACAAAGGAAGCACCTCACATAGACTGGGACTTTGAGAAGACCACTCCAATGAAAATCAAGCTTATGGAACAGCACACATCTATCGTCTCCCATTTTGCCTGCTCACAGTTCTTTTCATATCGAACAGCAAATATCTATCTTCTCCTCCCATTTTGCCTGCTCACAGTTCTTTTCGTCATTTCTACATCGTTACACATGGGCACAAAGTGGCGGGATCATGCACAACTACTCAATTTAGGCTGGACTGTGATTATACAGCAATTTTCTCGCATAGGTTTGTTTAGATACATTTCATTGATTATTACACAACTCTTTTACACAATAAAGTATACTTAATTCACTGTTTTGTTAGCTACTTCACAGGCATCAACCCCTTAGGCTTGATATGAGAGGGAAGAGCTAGCCTTGAGAAACTGTATACAGTGGTGGCTCGCTTAACGAGCGCACCGTTTAACGACGAATCCGCATAGTGACCCATTTTTTGGGGTCGCTAATGCGATCGCATTGCAATGTTTAGATAGGCTAAACATCCAGCTAGCCTTGGGAAACTGCATACTTGAATCTGGAATATTTATCCTAAAATTTATCCTGGGGTAACAGTGTTGGAGGTGTCCTTTTGTATCTGTGACCTGCTATTGGTGAAAACAGCTTTAGCAGAGCCACTGGTCAACGCTATAGTTATTTACAGGGAAACTCTTAACAGATAAGTCAGATGTGTGCAAATGATCACTGATCATTTGAATATCAATTGATTGACATCCAAGTATGTCTAGGGTTGCATATGCACAAATGCAGAGTGTGGATCATACCCAATGAATAAAAGTGATCACAGAAAAAGAGAGCTACAAAACAGAAATGTCCCATTTGATTCTACCATCATTATGTATCAGTATTGTCAGGCCCCAGCAACTAACGTCGTACTAAGAATTCTTAACTAAATGATGATCATTTGCCTTTACCAAATACAGTCGTGCCCTGCTGGACGATTACCCCGCTCTACGATGAATCTGCATTACGTTGACGTTTTTGCGATCGCTTTTGCGATCGCAAAATGATGGTTTAAATGGGGGAATTTCGCTTAGCGATGATCGGTTCCCGACTTCGGGAACCGATTTTCGCCTTATGACGATCAGCAAACAGCTGATCGTTGGGTTTCAAAATGGCCGGTGACTGAAGAAAATGGCCCTCCGCTGTTTTCTAGGATGGATTCCTCGCTTAACAGGCACCGAAAATGGCTGCCGTATGGAGGATCTTCACTGGACGAGCAGGTATTCAGCCCATTGCAACACATTGAACAGTTTTCAATGTGTTTCAATGGGTTTTTTCATTTCGTTTGACGATGTTTTCACTCTACAACATTTTCGCTGGAATGAATTAACATCGTCAAGTGAGGCACCACTGTACAACGAACAGTTAATCATTATGAAATACAGAAGGCAGCAAGAAAAGGAGAAGACCAAATATGAGATGAACTGACTCCCTAAAGGAAGCCACAGGATTGGGTTTACAAGAGCTGGGCAGGGCAGTTGAGGAGGGTCACCATAAACAGGAGGCGACTTGGCAGCACATAACAAAAACAACTTTAATTCAATTTTAAGTTAAATATTACAAACTCCTTTCTCCTGACAGATGGAAAGGGGAGAATGTAGCCACTACAGAAGTGGAGAAAATCCTGGTAGCCCTGGACTTCATTCAGGAAATCAATGTCTATGGGGTACCAGTGCCAGGTGAGCCTTAAAGAACCATTTTAAATATTCGTGTGATAAGATTTAATGTTCAAAGATATGAGATCAGTATTGGTTCCCCAACAGCATCATGATGGAAGTGGCAGTTTGTAGCCATTGTATCTTTCACTTTGATCACTGGTTAAGCCACCCTGATCCTAACCCCAGATCCAAACACAATTACAACTCTAACCCTAACTTATTTGTAGCCATTATGTCTGCCCCACTGATCACTGCCTTAGCCACCCTTACCCTAACCCCAACCCTAATCTCAATTTTAACTATACCTGTAAATCTAATCCCAATCCCAGCACCAACACCAGCCCTACATCTCCTGATTGGGACTTCTTCACGCTTCTTGATGTGTAATGGATCATTCCCCCCGTAAAACTCATGACTAATAGTGCAACATATGAAGCAGTTTACCAAATAATCTAGCTGTACGGGCAATGCAGTGGCCTTAAAAACTGCCTTAGAAAGTTAAGGTTGATTACATATTTTTCATCACGACTGATTAATTAAATAAGTCCTCCTTTTCTCACCAGCATTCCAAACTTCAAACATGTACCCCAACCCTTGAAACAACCCTTTTTGACTGATTCTAGGACATGAAGGAAAAATTGGGATGGCCGCCGTACGGCTGAAGGAAGGGCTCACTTTAGATGGGAAGAAACTGTATGAACACGCCAGGGCTTCCATGCCAAGCTATGCCATCCCCCACTTTATCCGCCTCAGGGTGAGAATTATAGTCTGTTGCTGTGCTTTCTGTTTTGCTCCTCTCCCTTTACAGAAGTGAACCAAGAAGTGATCTTATTCACTGCGTCGGTCCTTGTGTGACTTTTAGAAATAGAAAGAGCATGCATGGGGCACCCTTAGCCAAACTGGGACCACGACATGAGGCGAGGGAGCCTCCCAACCTTCCCATTGTCCTATTTTGGAGTTGAGGAAAATTGCTACCTACCCTTCCATACAGACTGTGAGCCCAAATGTATGTTGAAGTTCAAAGCATCTATTAGCAAAACACTGAAGCAGTACAGCATTGGGTCAAATTTTCTGCTGGGTCTGGTGTATGCTGTTTCAATAGCAACAGGACAGTGGAAAGGATTCCCCCTTTTTTGCCAAGAAGGACATTTAAATCCCAGCTGCCCACCTGCTCTTGCCTCCCTCAGTGGAAAAAGTGCAGATACCTGTATCACTCTCCCCCCTTATGGTAACAGGTGTGCGGCTTGAATAGAATAGGTATCCTTCAGTCTCAAGAGACTATGGTAATGTGCTCTGTATGGAAGACTTGGAACAGCATCTAATGTGGCGGAGAAGGCCAATTTGAGAGTGACAATCCCTTCCACACTGAGGACAAATACAAACTGTCCCCTGTCTAGCTCCCTGATTTTGCTGCTTTCGTGAATGCCTTTTTGCCTCAGCCTGCTGGACAAGGGTCTCTTCAAATTGGGAGAGGCCTGCCTCCAGGCTGAACACTCAGATGTCAGGGTTTCCCATCAGTTGAGATCCATTCCTAAGGCCTTCAGATCCCACTTGCAGATATTCTTGTATCGCAGCTGTGGTCTCCCTTTGGGGCGAGATCCCTGCACTAATTCTCCATACAGGAGATCTTTTGTTATCCGGCCATCAGCCATTCTTACAACATGCCCAAGCCAACAGATGTCGCTGTTTCAGTAATATGTACGTGCTAAACATTCCACCTTGATCTAGGACTACTCTATTTGGGACTTTGTCCTGCCAGGTGATACCAAAAATGTGGCTTGAGCCTCAATAAATTTACTTGTTTCCTCTTTTACACAAGCTGTACAGAAGAGTGCCACCTATGTGAAGACCTCTTGGAAGGTTCCCATCAATGATATGTGAAGGGCCTTCTGTGTATAAAGAGCTGCCCAGGCCAGGTCTGATGTAAAGATATTAAGCCAAAAGAAGGGAAAAGTCTAAGTAACTTACTGATAGTATAAGGACAGCCCTATTCAGGAATTATCTTGGTTTGTGCACTCCCAGAGCAGTTCTACCAATGCTTGCAGTCTTGCCTGGGCCTTCTATTTGTTCTAGGTATCATATGATAAGAGGACTTGAGCTCATATGCTGTTTTTCATGCAGGAGGCTCTTGAGATTACAGGAACTTTCAAGCAGTGCAAAAGTCAGCTGGTGAAAGAAGGATTCAACCCTGCCATCATCAGCGACCCCCTCTATTTCCTAGATGATAGAGAAAAATGCTACACACCAATGACTCAGCAGATCTTCAGCTCCATTGCAAAGAATTCATTCATTCATTCATTCATTCATTCATTCATTCATTCATTCATTCATTTTATATCCCTCCTATCTGGTCTTGCGACCACTCTAGGCAGCTCTAGACTCTAGACAACTCAATGCATGAACAGGGCTTTACTTACAGGGTTCTCAACTGTGTTGACAAAACAGTTTTATTTAAATGCTAATAACTGTTTCTGAGACTGATATTGTAGAGCAGATAGACTGTTGGATTAGGACTTCAGAAGGTAAAAAGGTAAAGGTTCCCCTTGACAATTTTTGTCCAGTCGTGTCCGACTCTAGGGGGCGGCGCTCATCCCGCTCTTCAAGCCATAGAGCCGGCGTTTGTCCGAATACAATCTTTCCGTGGTCACATGGCCAGTGTGATTTAGACACGGAACACTGTTTACATTCCCACCGAGGTGGTCCCTATTTATCTACTCGCATTTGCATGCTTTCGAACCGCTAGGTTGGCGGGAGCTGGGACAAGCGACGGGAGCTCATTCCGTTGCGTGGATTCGATCTTACGACTGCTGGATCTTCTGACCCTGCAGCACAGGCTTCTGCGGTTTCGCTACTCAGCCATGGAAACTCCCCAGTGTGTGTCTGTGGCAGTCAAATTCTTTGAAGATCTCACATACCTCCAAAACCCTATTATGTCCCACCAAGTTGTTTCCATGTCTAAGGTCCTGGAAACCATTTGACAGGACATTGCAACATCAACATTATTTCTACAAATACATAAATTCGCATAAACAGTTTTTATGAAAAAAATGTGGTTCCCCCTTTTTGTTGTTTTTTTTCCTCTGAGATGCATTTCCTCTTTTTTTTTTCATAAATGGCTCTCCTAGTTTGGGCTTTGTTTCGTTGTGGGTTAAGTGTAGAGGAAATAATATTGCTTACAGTCATGAAAGCCCAATGTGGAGAAACAGTCAGTTCAACAGACTTTAGGAGCTACCTGGTTATGCATTTCAAATGGGAGTCACATAGGCTAACAGCTAGGAGAGTCAGTCATAGATCTCTTGAAGCATACATGATTTGACCTTCAGAGTGTGTGTTCAGTCGTTTAGTCGTGTCCGACTCCTCGTGACCCCATGGACCAGAGCACGCCAGGCCCTCCTATCTTCCACCGCCTCCCGGAGTTGTGTCAAATTCATATTGGTTGCTTCGATGACACTGTCCAACCATCTCATCCTCGGTCGTCCCCTTCTCTTGCCTTCACAGTAGTACGATAGAAATGGAGATCACTAAGCTTTAAATAAGGATTACTTCCTTTATCTCAAAGATGCTGAGGATGCCAGCTTCCTGAAGAGCAGTCTTACCAATGCTTGCAGTCTTGCCTGGGCCTTCAATTTGTTCTAGGTATCATATAATAAGAGGACTTGAACTCATATGCTGTTTTTCATGCAGGAGGCTCTTGAGATTACAGGAACTTTCAAGCAGTGCAAAAGTCAGCTGGTGAAAGAAGGATTCAACCCTGCCGTCGTCAGCGACCCCCTCTATTTCCTAGATGATAGAGAAAAATGCTACACACCAATGACTCAGCAGATCTTCAGCTCCATTGCAAAGAAGAAGCTAAAATTGTGAAAGAACTTCTAAGAAGCGTCATAGGACTGTCTCCTTAATATGCCAATGAGGCCAACAGAACTTCAGAGAACCCAGGAACAGCAATGGCGTTGAACCTTTTGGCTTTTGCGTAGTAAAGGAGGGATTAGTTTCATATCTTCCAGACTAGGACATGACTTTGTACATGACTTTGTGATTACATTGTTGTTATTGTTTCGTCGTTAAGTCGTGTCTGACTCTTCGTGACCCGATGGATCAGAGCACACCATGTGATTATATACATACAGTAAAAGATTGTGTGGGTGAATATGTGTGTGATAAAGATGCCTTTATCACTCCTGCCATGGAAGTGGATGAAATCATCATCTGCCAATGGATATCTTTAATTTAATTTAATCTAAAACTTCTCATCTCCTCCTTGAGGTTCCGAGGCTCCCTAGAGATCCCTTCACCCTGTTGAAACCTTGGGAGCCTCAGTACAGAGGTGGAAGGAACCTTTAATATTAGAAAATTGCTGATGATGATCCGATAGCTGGATTGGGACAACTGACAGTTACTTTCTGATATTAAGATCTCTCCCACTCCATGTTCTGAAGCTAGGGCTTCTCAAGGGCAAAAGGGATCTCTAGGGAGCCTTGGAACCATAAAGGTGAAGACGGGACTTTTTAATTTAATTATATTAAATTAAAACATCCATTGCCAGAGGATGGTATCATCTGGCTTGCTTGGCAAAAATTTACTGATACCTTTCTGTGTGATATTTATAACTGATAGCACAACCTGTAATTATTGTCATTTAAATTCAGGTGAATCGGCAGCAAGAAGACGGCATAAGACATGTATCTTTCTCCTTATAGTCACCAACTAGCTTATCTCCACCATCATCTTCCTTTTTTTCTTCCTCTTCCTCTTGTATTGGAGGCTGTATGTCAAAGCCATCATGGGTATTCAACATTAGTTTTGCTTTAAATAATGATACTGTGTTACATCCAAACCAGTCTCCGAGCACTTCAGACAAGGAGTTCTTCTCGTTCGTACATTTTTCCTTTTTTATTTTGAAAAATCTGCTGTAACAGCCTGCTTTTTATTCTTATTAATGACCAAAGTATTTCATGAGTCTTTGGGCTTAGATCCCCCCTCCAACTGATGATGACTTACAATGACTATTGTACTCTAAACATATCACAACACAACATATTGACACAGGTCAGGTTTCTAGAGCTCAGAAACTATTGGTTCTTCAAATGCCAGTACATTTCCAAATTTTTGAGTTTGACTCCATTAAAATTAATTCTGTTGGCAACAGAAGGTTTCAACTTGTTATTTGTCTAGGACATAAGGTTACAAGGAGGCTGCACAGCAGGGTGGATAAAAATCAATGAAAGAGCCGTCACTCAAGGACAGGGGTGAACAATTAATTTCTACAGGGGGGGCCACATGAAAAATCTGAATTATGTTCAGGGGCAACCAACTTTAATTAAAAATAAAATGAAACAGTGATGTTATGATTGTTTTTATTTTAAACTTGTTAATCTTCACAAATACTAAAGAGTTTTTTGCGGTATGTTAAAGATAAGCAACTGATCAACTTTAGACAAAAAGCTATAAATGGTTTTGATGTTCAGCTTGTTCAGTGAGAAAAATCCAGTCTGTCTTGGGCTTGAACAAGTGCTTGAAGCAACGACCGGCGGGCCGGACAGGAGCGGGTCGCGGGCTGTATGTGGCCCTCAGGCCGCACTTTGCCCAGGTCTGCTCAAGGTAAGAGGGATGGCTTGTAGACAAAGGGCCTTTTTGGCAGCTGCCTGTAGACTATGGAATGCCCTCCCGACTGAGATTCGTCTGATGCCAACATTTTGGCACCAGGTCAAAACCTTCCTGTTCCAGAAGGCTTTTAATTGGAATAATATCAACTGTGGGTCCTGATGGCAATTTTTAGAGTATATATTTTAATTGCATTTTAATTTTCTTATTTTTAATTGTATTTTAATTGTTGTAAGATGCCCAGAGACCTTTGGGTAGTGTGGGCGGCATATAAGTTAAATAAAATAAAATAAAATAAATAATCAAAAATTGATTTTTGTGATTTAAATCGTGATTTAACTCAATTTAATTTAAATCAAATCCATCCTTCTGCACAGTGTGTAGAAGAGACTGTCACCAAAGTAGGAGAACCCATGCTTTGCATGTAAAAAGCCCTAGATCCAATCTGTGGCAGGTCTAAGGAGGGGTGAATAAGAGCACTGTCCAAAACCCCAGAGAGCTGCTGCCAGGCTATATTGATAAAACCCCTCCTGATTCACCAATCAGCTAGGTCTCTTTATTTGCTACCCACCCATTTGTTGCAAGCAAAAGGCAGCAACGCCAGAGAGGAGTGCCAGGGAGCAAAGAACTCAACAGCGTTCAGGGACTGTCTCTAGCCAGTTAATATTTATTGACGCGATTTCCTCAAATCAATCTGCAGGGACAAAGGGACAAGAAAAGAGGAATTGCTTTTCATTTATTGCCTTTTTGTCTTCCACATAAGAAGGCTTTTGGTGTTCTTTTAGATTGCTGTGCTTGTTGCTTCCAGAGCACTGGGTTTGACTCTAGAAGCCAGCCATGGTGGCCCTGTGCACAATCGTGCTGGGGCTCCTGATGCTTCTGCCCCTCTTGGGGAGTATTTTCTTCCCCTACCTTTGGCAAGACCTGGTCTTCCTCTTCACCTTGATGCGTATAGGATATAAATGCCACCAATATGCCCAACACGACCCTCCTTTGACGTTACTGGATGTCTTCCTCAACAAAGTCCAGAAGTACCCAGAGAAACCTTTGATTCTCTTTGGAGAAGAAGTCTATACTTTTCGAGAGATCGACCGGCGCAGCAGCCAGGTGGCTAGAGTGTTCCAGGACCCTGTAGGGCTGAAAGAAGGGGACACGGTGGCAGTCTTCCTGAAAAACACCCCAGCCTATGTGTGGGTCTGGATGGGCTTGTTAAAGATTGGCTGCGTCATGGCGTGCATCAACTATAACATCCGATCCAAGTCTCTCTTACATGTGCTCAGCTCCTGTGAAGCCAAAGTGCTACTAACAACTCCAGGTAAGGACCATGTAGAAGTGGGAACAAGTTATACCCAACAAGGAATGTTGGGTATACATATTATTATATTACATAATAATATTCTTACATCTGAGAAGTATATACACTTGAAAAATTTCTGGGAATGCATGCATAAAACACGTCTTGAAGGGGATTATATTAGTCTGTTGGAGCAAAACAAAGATTCATGTGGCTTCTTTCGGGCTATGAGACTACAACTTGCTTGTGAGTGAGTATAATATCATGAATAGTCCAGATGGTGCAATAGTAGCTCCTTGTTTTGCTTCTTCCTTTGTCACTTGGAGTTGAAAGATTCTGGGATTTACTGGTAGCCTTTTCTTGACTTTCAATGGTCTAGCACTAAATTGCTTCTTTGCTTTAGTGCTGTACTTGGGATTGAGAGTGTCCAGCAAACATTCACTGCACAGTTCATGAGTTTCATGTGGCCTTGTGAGTGCAATGGTGGCTTTGCTTCCTTGTGCTCATTGTGCATGAGCGCTGAATTGCTTTGGAAAGTGCCACAGCATACACTCCACCTCCCTGCTGCAAAGTGGTAGCAAAAATTAAACATTTTTGAGGGCGAAATAGGTGCCAGAACCCAGGGGAAACCATATGAAATAAGATAAGAGGAATGTAGTTTGGATGTCAGAGGAAATTCCAATAAGATTGGGGTAGAACATGAACAAACTAATGGTACAAATAGGGAAGAACCCCTAAAATTTTGGCTATAAGCTCACAGTATAAATGGTAGAGAGTCGGATGTTGACAGTCAGGATGAAACTGGATACAGAAAGTATTTTGCTTGTTAATTACACTTAACAAGAACGCAAACATGCTAACCATAAGGAAAGCAGTTAGCATCTGTAAGGAAAGCAGTTAGCATTTGTAGAGCTGTAAGGTCTTGCTACACAATACAGACATTTGCTCAACAGTTGTGGGTTTTTCGGGCTCTTTGGCTGTGTTCTGTTCTTCCTAACGTTTTGCCAGTCTCTGTTGCCGGCATCTTCAGAGGACAGCACTCTGAAGCCAAAGAGCCCAAAAAAGCCACAACAACCATTAGATCCTGGTCATGAAAGCCTTCGCGAATACAGTACATTTGCTCAACAATTTGTTCCAGTGTTCTCTTTGACACAGCCTCCTTATGGCAATTTGGGGATGCCCTGTGATCACTGTTTTGTGCTTTTAATTCCTGCATCTTTATGACCTCGTCAGACCTTCTTTCATGTATTTACTTGTACTTAACAGCTTCTTTTGATTTCTTACTAAATCCAACGTGTGTTTGAAAGGTGGTTATTTGGCAGGACTGACCGAGTGGTGCAGTTCTGAGCAGCCTTTTCAAGTTCCCTGTTAGGTATGGGTCTGAACAGGAGTGCTCCCACCATTCTGGCAATATTTCCTTTATCTCATATGAAAATGATTTTTTCCATGTTTTCACTTTTTTAAAAAAATATTTCCCAAATACCTTGGCTTCTCTAGTGTCACTTGGTTGTACAGTACTTGCTTTCCCAGTTCCAGGCTATCCCTTTGTTTATTTTTCAAGATGACCTTAGCACTTGAAAAAGTAGTGGTGGTTGTTTTGTGCTTCCCCAACAGAGGGGGGGTGGAGGGAGAGGGAGGGAGGGAGAGAGAGATACCCTGTTTTCCCCAAAATAAGACCTAACCTGAAAATAAGCCCTGGTATGATTTTTCACGATGCTCGTAATATAAGCCCTACCCCAAAAATAAGCCCCAATTAAGTGAAACTCCGCTCTCCGCCATTCTGCAGCAACCAGAAGATGATATGACTGTCTTTGAATAAATGCAGATTGTTGTACATAAAAAATAAAATAAAATAAAACATCCCCTGAAAATAAGCCCTAATGCCTTTTTGGAGCAAAAATTAATATAAGACCCTGGTAGAAAGAAAGGGAGGGAGAGAGACTGAGAATGAGAGAGGAGAAGTTAGAGAAAGAAACAGTTCAGGAACAAAGTCCAGATTGTTGGCAGATGCACGAGGCGATAGGAAAGCAAAGCAAAGCAGAACACCGGCAGATTATTGTAACTGCTTCTCCAAGGGCACCAAAGCAGAGAGCCAGCCTACTGCTAAACCAGGAGATGGCTCTTGGCAACTTTTAGTAAATCCCATGAATTCCCAACTCCAAAGGAAGTGATAAAGAGAAATGCAAATAACCCATCTGGAAATGCTCTTGGGTAGGCAAGGGCTTTGTAACAACTATTGTGAGGTTAGAAATGGATATCCCCAATCTCCTTTTTCTCTCCAGTCATTGCCTGCTTTTCTTGCAACTGCTGTAAACAACAGGTGAAGATAAGCAAGTGACAAGCAGGATAAATCAAAGCTTTCCAGACTGTTCTTTTCTTTAATAAATAAATAAATTTCATTGTTGACAACACATAATAGAAAAGCCATGTTGACATGAATACCATACAGATCCTGAAAAAGGGTAAATTCATAGTGTTGCCAAAAGGAGACAGGATACTTTGGCTTCGACCTGTCTGTCCTTTATTTGGGCACAGAAGAGGGTCCTCTACACCCTGTACTGCTTAATGAGATGGCCGAGCTTGGGTGTTGCTTAATGAACACTCCTGTGAGTTCACTGATGCCTATTGGTTTCTAGAGGCATGAAAGTAAAAGTTCACTTGGTTTACCAGAGGGTGGTCCTTGTGAAATGCTACAACCTTGGAGGTCAAAGGCATTCCTCTGGCCAGCCAATCAGAACAGGGCTGTCACAGTCCAAGATACCACAGGCAGCTTCTCACCAGGGGTAAGGGCACCGGGACACCAGTCGGCCATGCAGGGTATTGAGTCCAAAGACACTCACTGTGCAGCTGGCCGTGACCAAGCAGAAGCTGGAGCACCAGGCTGGGAGCCAGGTCGCAGGAACAAGGTGCTGAGATGCAGGTGGCCAGCAGAAGCAAGCAGGGACCAAGGCAGGGGCAGGAACAGGACAGGGGGCAGGAACACTGAAGTCCAGATGCAGAGATGCAGGAGGCAAGCAAAGCCAAGAGCAGGGGCCAAGGCAGGAGCAGGAACACTGGAATGCAGGGACTCCAGAGCTCAAAAGCAGCAAGGCACACCACCGCACAGCCAAAGACCTTGGTTGCTCCTGAATACCTGCTCCTGTCTTGGCCCTGCTCTTGCCTCCTGCATCTTGACTCCAGTGTTCCTGTTCCTGCCCCTGCTGGCCTCGAATGCAGGGACTCCAGAGCTCAGAAGCAGCAAGGCAAACCACCGCACAGCCAAAGACCTTTGTTGCTCCTGAGTCCCTGCATTCCAGTACCTGCTCCTGTTCCTGTCTTTGCCCTGCTCTTGCCTCCTGCATCTAAACTTCAGTGTTCCTGTTCCTGCCCCTGCTGGCCTCCTGCATCTCGGCACCTTGTTCCAGCTCCCTGCTCCTAGTCCTGTGACCTGGCTCCCAGCCTGGTGCCCCTGCCTCTGCTTGGTCACGGCCAGCTGCACAACAAGGTCCTGGTGCCCTTAACCATAGCTGCCTGTGATATCTTGGACTGTGACAGCCCTGTTCTGATTGGCTGGCCAGAGAAATGCCTTTGACCTCCAAGGTGTCAAGGTCCTGGTGCCCTTATCCATGGTGAGCGAGTGTCTTTGGACTCAATACCCTGCACGGCCGACAAGGTCCTGGTGCCCTTATCCATGGTGAGAGGCTGCCTGTGATATCTTGGACTGTGACAGTTTGCTGAGGCAAGCTCTGGGAGGGAGACCCACTCCTTAAATAGGCTTCCCTCCAGGTTGCCCAGTGAGCCTCATGTCATGAGTGGCCCAGCAGCTGCTACACAGACCAGGGCCTGAGCCTGCAAACACCAGGCCATTCCTGGGTCAGGCTGGCCCTGATCCTGCAGCTGCCAGGGTGGTGTGGGCCAGATCCTGACATGAGCTTGCTAGTTTGGCTGCGTGCTAGCTCTAAATTAGGGGCTGCCGTACCCACCTCCTCCGTGGCACTGGATCCATGCAGAAGCTGTATGCTCAGGCAGCTCCATTTCCCATCATCAAGATCCTCCCCAGCAGGTGGGCAGGGCTGATAGCTCTTTGCTAAGTGACAGGCAAGTCATCCAATACGATCTATGGCCCCCCTGCTGCACCAAAGCTCTTCAGTGGCCAATAACCAATAAAATTGTGGCCAATTGTTATTCCACAAAAGTTGGAGTGGTGTGCCAGTTGCTTACCAATCATCTTCCATTCCTCCTGTCATACCTCTAGGATCACAATCAATTTGCCTTGAACGTAGTGTTACCAAAAAGCCTGTATGTTTACCCAAAACAGGATAGCTGCAATTTCATAATGGCCTGGCAGCTTAATTGCTCATTAGGGCTGAAAAGCAGTAGTAAGTTGCAACTAGAGTAGGTCCATTGGATCAATGGGTATTTGGTGAGTTAACTCCCCTGTTAAGTGCCACTGATTTGATGGGCCTAGTCTAGTTGCAACTTAGCACTGGGTTTCAGCCAAGAGATTCTGCAAAGCTATAAGGAAAATCTTCATAATAAGACTACAGTGGTGGAAAATTCCTCTTAAGCAAACCACATCAATTTTCACTGTAGAATTTGTGGATTGTCTTTGCAAACACTGTAAGGACTATCTAGACCAAGTTGGCATTTGGGCTTTGGCCCAGGCAATGAAGCTTACCTGAACCCATTTTTCCTCTTTCTTCAGAGTTTCAAGCTGCCATTGAAGATGTCCTCCCTGCTCTAAAGAATGAAGGAATACGTGTTTTTTATCTCAGCAACGAGTCCCCAACTGAAGATGCAGAAGCCTTGCTGGGAAGGATTAAATCCAGCTCAGCTGAACCACTGCCTGCTTCCCTCAGAGCCAACGTCACCCTTAAATCAACATGCCTGTATATTTTCACCTCTGGCACCACAGGTGAGGCAGAAGAATGGCAAGATGGTAGTCAAGATTATGCCCAGAAGGTACAATTAGGCCTGAAAATTTGCTCCCCTCTTTGTTTCTCCCTTGTTCACCCATGGGGACACTGGATGACATCCATTCAAGATGCGTTACCATGGCCCAGTGGTTCACCACATACACCACCCTAACATCTCCAGCTAAAAAGAAGAAACTCAGGAAACAGGTGATAGGAAAGACCAGGTGATTTGAGTGCTAAAGTTTACTTCTTGCTTCTGAGAGTCATGTAAGATTGTTAAAAAACTCCTATTCTCTTTATCTACCTACCTCAAGGCCTACCAAAACCTGCTGTCATCAGCCAAAGAAAGATGTTATTATTATCCAATATTTTCCTCTTCTGCGGGATCCATGCCGAAGACATCTTTTATACCCCACTCCCACTGTACCATTCAGCTGCGCTTACTGGGCTTGCAGGATGCATAGACATGGGTACGTATAGAACTTCCATGAGAGTTGGACACACATCCATTACTGGTGATTGACTGACAGGCAGAAATTACTTTACATCATTTATTTGATGATGGGATTAAGGCATGGAAGACATCTGAGCTTTATTCTAGCTAGACTGTTATCTTCTACAGTATTCCTTCCCCACGTGGCCATCTTCCATTACACTGCCCCGTAGAATGGATTCAAAGAGAGAGAAGAAGCACATGGAGACAATGGTCTTACAATTATTTACATATTCAGGCTCTGCTCCTGTTCCAGCTGGACTTTTTCAATTCATGCAACAGTGCCAAAAAATAAAATAAAATTTAAAAAAATCCTAAGGGAATCACCAAAAATCCTCCGGAATGGAGCCTAAACCATTTGAGCATTGGTTGTTGTAGGTTTTTTGGGCTGTTTGGCCATGTTCTGGAGGGTTTTCTTCCTGACGTTTTGTCAGTCTCTGTGGCCGGCATCTTCAGAGGACAGGAGCTAGAACTCCTGCGTTTTGGTGTAGTGGTATAGAAAGCAGAGTTCTGACTCCTGTCCTCTGAAGATGCCAGCCACAGAGACTGGTGAAACGGTAGGAAGAAAAACCTCCAGAACACGGCCAAACAGCCCGAAAAACTTACAACCACCATTGGATCCCAGCCATAAAAGCTTTCAAGAATACATGTGAGCATTGCTTATTACAGTTTCATAATGGTATATTTTTGTTGTTGCTTGTAAGCTGCTTTTTGAAGGAATGATATCCTGACAGGTAAGACATAAGTACAGTGGTGCCTCGCTAGACAATTGCCTCGCGGGACGAAAAACCTGCAAGACGATTGGTTTTGCGATCACTATGGTGGCTCCCAAGACTTTTTTCTTATGGCCGTGCTTCGCAAGACTTTTTTTTTGACCGATGCTTCACAGGACTTTTTTTTTTTTTTTTGAGACCGATACATAGGGAACCTCGTAAGACAGTTTTTTCACAAGGCGATGATTTTCGTGGAATGAATTAAAATCGTCTTGTGAGGCACCACTGTAATTGCAATAAGCCTTGTGGCCTAACAGTGCAATCCTAATTCAACGATGGACCTTCTATAGGGATTTAGGCATAGGGACAATCCTTTCTATTTATATGGGCAGAAATGCTCTGATGCTAACAGAACGCTTTTCTGCTGACTGATCTCAAGTGATCTGCCTGCAGATGTCTGGTTGCAGAATTGAGCCAGCAGCTAAGATCTGCCAACAGACAAGCTAAAAGTTTGTGCACACCCGCAGTCCCTTCCCCAAAGGGGAGGAAATAAAATAAAAGCTCCAGATAGAAGCATGCTAAACTTTCCAAACACCTGGTAGAGTCAGTCTCATGGAGAGCGCACTGCCCTGATGTCTAACACACAGTGTTTAGAAAATGGCATCTTCCTTCACCCAGCCACCAACAATGCTTTTAACAGTGCCATTCCTAAACAATGTGTTTATTTTCTCTCTCTCCCTTTCTAGGAACTACTTGTGTTTTGACCCCTAAGTTCTCTGTGACCACATACTGGGATGTCTGCCGACGGTACCGCATCTCTGTGATTCAGTATATAGGAGAAATTATGCGCTACCTATGTAATACACCAAAGGTATCTGATGAGAGAGGTTGAATATATTTGGATAAAGAATTAAAATAGATTGTTTGACTGTTTCTCTCACAGTTGAGTCCAACTAAGATAGATAAAAGATCTGGAAACTAACAGGGTCAATAAGATATTATATAGACATTGTCCCAGTTCAGAAATTATCATGAATGCACATGTTTCTCAACTTTTTTCTCTTCTATCCATTCCTCTTCCATTCATATGGCCATACTGCTCCCCCTTTTTAAATGTTATTTCACCTTCCAGGACATGTTTTTGTGGAAAAGGAAGATTCTTGCCACATAAGCTTGCTGGCCACCCTGAATCTGGAGCTGCAGTCCACAGCTGGGCCCCAAACTTTGGGGGGGGGGAGTAACTCCCAGCTGGAATTTTTGATGTTGTTTTTCATCGAAGGCCAAAGGCAGGCATCAATAGTGGATTCTGCTTTGGCATTAGATGCTTGGTAGTTGCTTGGGGGTGTTGTCCATGGATGTCAAGCCTGTATGTCAAGTAGAACAGGAGACCATAATATGGTATCCATTGGTGTAGAATCCTGTTTTGTCTATAGAGCCCCATACCTGTACTCAAGCTAGCTGACCTTTCCGAACAATCCAGATAAGTAATCCTTCACAGAGTGCACTACAATAGTCTAATAAGGATGTTATCAATAGTCTAATAAGGATGTTATCAATAGTCTAATAAGGATGTTATCAATAGTCTAATAAGGATGTTATCAGGGCAGAATAAATTTTCACAACCCTATTTGATTATCTAACAGCTACTAATCAAATGGATTTAGTTCAACCATGATTCTGTTGCCCACGTGTTCTTTGCAGAAGGACAATGACCGTGACCACTTTGTGCGAATGGCAATTGGCAATGGCATGAAAGTGGAGGTCTGGAAGGAGTTTCTGCACCGTTTTGGACCCATCCAAATCATTGAGATGTATGGATCTACAGAGGGGAATAATGGGTTCATTAACTACACTGGGAAAGTGGGCGCTGTGGGAAGGACCAACTTCATCTACAAGGTAATGAGGCTTGCACTGGATGTTTGCATGACATCTACACATTACTAAGGGCAGGGACATTAAGATTTTGAGTAGAAAGTAATAGCACATTTGTCTTCCAGTGAAGGGGTTGTCTCAGTATTCTGTGTTTGAACAGGCAGATTGCAAATGAAATCTAAACTACATATGTGAGAAAAGTTTCTGTTAGGATGATCAGATACTTTTTATCACTTCAAGGCACACAGCTTGTATGTGTGGAATTACGTGTCATGTATAGTTAGACTCTAAAGATTCTTTATATGAGGGGTGAGGAACTTTTTTCAAGCTGGTAACCAAATTGGTTCTAGGGAAATATGTTGAGAAGACTCAAAGCTTTACCTAAAATTTACTTGTTTCTTTATATATAAATTAATACGCACAAATATCATACAAAGCTGTGCCCTCTTCTTTGGTTTTTCATGAGTGGATTGTCTAGGTGTCAATAAACATTGAGCTTTCAACAGCTTTGAGATGAAAATCACGAAATGATTTATTACAGATTTTGTTGGTGAAGAGCTATTACTAGCATGCTCCAGTCTAAGCTTTCTTTCTCTTGATGTTCCATACTATGCATATTGTCACGGTGACAGCATAGTAAGGTGTGGCAGCTAGATCATACAACTTAAAGCAGGGGAAGCTAGGTTTAATTTTCTGGTAAACTTTGTCATCCTATATGTAAATTCTTTTGAATTTGTATTCTTCCCCTGTAAAATTATTTCCATGGATATAAGCACCTAAACCATGAGACTTGCAAATAAAGCCCATGTTTACCTTACAGTGACCAATCACAAAGCAAAGCCCACTGGAAGGCAAGAAATGGAGTTCATTGAAAGTATGAGCTTTGACACTTCAGAAGAAGTCAGTTGAATGATCTGATTGTATCATACGTACAGCATGACCTTAGAAGGCTTCCACAGTGAACTTTAAACATTTCTGTTCAGCACAACCTATCTCAAAGTGTAAGGATAAAATGAGGATAAAAGAAGCCACTTTCAGTCATTAAAGTTTTGCTATAATTCCTAGATAAGAATGATAAACTCTACATTCCTTTCCCTTAAAATTCATTCTGGCCTATCTAATACTACAGCTGTCTTGAGCTTTTAACAGCTTTGAGATGAAAATCACACAATGCTTTATTACAGACCTAGTTGATGAAGAGTTTGTTACTTTGGTCTTGTGGGCTCACATGTCCACTTCCCTTCTGTTCTACTTCAGAAAATGACACAGTTTGAGCTTATTCAGTATGACATTGAGAAGGATGAGCCTGTGAGGAACAAGAAAGGACTTTGCATTCCAGTGTCAACAGGTAAGGGAGGGAAATACGCATTCACACATGGACTATGGGTGGGTTTGTATTGTCAGAGCATTGCCTTACAGGCACATAATTACTCCCAGACACAGAAATTGCTTGTATATTTCCATGCAAAATGCTGGAGCTTATTCTCTCTTCAAAGATGATAGCAGAAACATGAAAAGAGAATGTGTGAGACCTCATTTTTCACCATGTCATGATTCATGTTAAATGTAAACAAGTCTTCATTCCCACCAGTGTATCCATAAGGAAGATTCACCTCTGTCACATAGCCTGTCTTTATCCTCTCCCCTTCCAGCAGCAGATCTCTATAGGCAAACATTAAGTAAGGTATGGGGTTAGGATTTAGCAGAAAATTCTTATCAAGTTCTTAAGATTCATTTAGTGAAACCATACCACACTAGGTTATAATAGCTGAACATGACCTGAAATTGTTCCCAACAGAACGACAGAGAACACGTGTGTATTTTTGCAGGAATATTACCAAGTGTTACTTGGCCTGTGGTGTAGATGTTTGTATTTTTAGTGGGGGACTTTTAGTGGGTGGAGAGTGTTTGGGGAATTTTATGTTTGTGCATGTGTCTGGTCTCTGGGTGTCTGTGAATTTCGTTGTATGGGTATACTGTGTATATACTTACAATGACAATAAATGATGATGATGATGATGATGATGATGATGATGATGATTATTATATTATGTATATATATTGGGTATATTATGAACTTTGGTGTAATTTTGAAATGAGTTCCTATAGCACTTATATGTTATAACTTAGTTAAGTCAACTATATTTTTGTAGAGATAGCTTAGCTATACAAAGATATACGGTAGTTGCTAGTCCAAAAAATCCAGAGGTTTCCTATTGTGCTCTCGAAACCTGGTAGGGGTTATTAATAGTACAGTTAGTAGCCAGATGCAATTCCTACCAAAAAACTGACAGAGTGATTCCCTATTAACGTTGCCTGACTCCTGCTTGAACCACTGGAGGTGACAGCCTTTATCTTGGTTCCGTTGGAGGATGGATGCCCACTGATTCCATCTGTTCATCATTCACTTCTCAGGTGAGGCTGGTTTAACGGTGATCAAGATTACTGAGAGTTCCCCTTTTGAAGGCTACATGGGTGACCGGCAGAAGACTGAGAAGAAGATTCTCCGGGATGTCCTAAAGAAAGGGGACTCCTACTTCAATACGGGTGACCTTCTCATGCAAGACCATGAAGGCTTTTTATATTTCCATGATCGGGTGGGAGACACTTTCCGGTATGGTGGATCTGCTGCCTTTCTTTTTATGCTTGAGTGTGACGGCCACTGTATCTAAAGTTGCTGGCAATGCCTTACTTTAAGACTTCTAGAGATTTGTTTGTATTCCACCCTAGATATGAGTGTAAGCTATAAATATTGTTAAGAAGTCAACACAATAAGTATTGTTAGTTTTGTGCTAGCTATGGCAATGCTTATGCACACCTGCATGTCAGCTTGCCCTTTGCGGTCAATTGGGGTGACTTTCTTAAAAGTAATTCTCCATTTAGGACTGTACATGTACAAACGTTGAATGTGAGCCATGCCCTGGAAAGCTAAGTTGGGAAAGTAGCTAAAACAAGAGACAGAGTATGAATCAGGAAAACCACAAAGAACCTTGTCTCACCGTGAAGACTAGCAAGTTCTATTAGGAACTGTTGTTGTTTGCAAACCAGTTGAACACCAATGACAAAACGGCATCCAGTTGTGCATACAGTATTGCCATAGCTAGTATGCGCCGCTTCTTTAGAAGTATAGAGTAGAATTTCTCTCTCAGATTAGTGTCGGTATCCTTGAAAAGAAAACTTCAAAGATGGATTCCAACGGGAAAGAAACAACTAAAAAAGAGAGAGTCCATCAAGAGGTTCAGCTGAAACTCAGCTTCAGTAAAGACAGAGGTTTTGTATCTCATTAGATATATTACTCAGTGCATCTCTGCAGGTTTGCTATATTGCTACACTACTGTGTGTAGCAGAAATGCTTTTTCCTTTGGAAAGATGAGTCAAAACGGGATGTTGCAGGCTGCAGCTAGAAACTGGCAATCTTATGTCTCATGTTTTTGCTGCAACAGATTGCCTCCCTCCGTGGAAACCTCTATAAATCGGGAGAGCTCACCTCTCTGGTTTCTGTTTCCCGTGAATTTAGGATGAACTTCTGCCTTGTCATGCCCTAACTGAGGCCTGCACCCATCCAAAAAGCCAATATTGCATAACAACTGTAGAGTTGGATGGTAGAAGGAAGATCCAGGTTTCAGTTTGCATTGAACCATGAAAGAAACTGAGATATAAACGTGAAAGGGTGGTGGTGGTGGTATTATTATGAACTCTCTTATCTACCAAATCCAAGAATGGTGACAACTCTTCTCGCATTGCAGCTGGAAAGGAGAAAATGTGGCAACGACTGAAGTCGAGACGATCCTGGCAACTCTTGATTTCATTTGGGAAGTAAATGTATATGGTGTACCGGTGCCAGGTAAGTCTGAAAGTCCATTTAAAAACAAAGCACATTTTTTTTTTGGTGATGCTGCAGTTAACATCTACAGGTCCAACACCACGATTCACCACCACCGGAAGACAGGTGGTGTGTGGTCCACCCTGTCTTTGAAGCTGAAAGTGGTGGGGTTTCACCTGTAACATGTTAAATCTTAGGTATAATCATCCTGTCTTGCTTCCACGTAGGGCATGAAGGAAAGATTGGGATGGCTGCAGTACGGCTGAAGGAGGGGTTCCTCTTTGATGGAAAGAAACTATATGTACATGCAAAAGAGTATCTGCCAAACTATGCCATACCTCGGTTCGTTCGTATGCGGGTGAGAATCTCCTCTGTTGCTTTAGACTTTCTCAGTAACCTCAGTGAAGGCAATGGTGGATATTTAGGGCTTTAGGATCAAAAGCCCAGGGCTTTCTGACTAGGAGGGATAAGACCTCATCAGCCACCACCCTCAGCCTTCCCTGTTCCTTCTGAGCTTAGCTGCAGTTGTCAGAATAGCTGGGAGATAAATGGATTTTCTTTCCAATCATATATTGCTACATTGGATGGTAGAAGGAAGATCCAGGTTTCAGTTTGCATTGAGCCATGAAAGAAGCTGAGATATAAACGTAAAAGAGTGTTGTAACACAAAACATCTGAGAGTGATTTTGTCTTGATTGAAATGAGGAATCAATAGTCATTAGCTTTGCAAAATATCGCCTCCTCACTTGTCAATATGGCTCAAACTAGCTCCCTGTGTTTTTGCAATACTCTGGATGGGTCTAGCTATGCCGAGCTTTTATGATGCATGCCTACACTTCCAAATTTATTACTGCACCACTGCTTGGGAGGCCAGTGTAACCAGATGTGCAGGAGGACACCAGATTCTTCCCCAGCCCCAGCCTGTAGTCTATGCGTGCACCATAATCAGGCCAATCATCACAGTATTGTACATCCCTCTTGACCTGCCTCAGTTCTTATATGGCAGAAGAAATTGAGTTCCTCTCTTGCTTTCCATGCAGGATGTCCTGGAAATCACAGGAACCTTCAAACAGATCAAAGGTCAACTGGTGCAGGAAGGATTCGACCCTGCTGTCATCAATGACCCCCTCTATTTTCTAGATGAGTCAGAAAAATCTTACGTGCCCATGACTCAGCAGATCTTCAACTCCATTGCAGAGGAGAAGCTGAAACTGTGAAAGGGGCTACCAAGGATATCATTCAACGCTCTTACAGCCTCCTCTAATTTTTCTTAAAATAGAATAATTCAGACAGGGGTGAGTTAGTGAGAAAAAGCACAAACCACATGTTGTTTAGTCGTGTCTGACTCTTTGTGACCCCATGGACCAGAGCACATCAGGCCATCCTATCTCCCACTGCCTTCTGGAGTTGGGTCAAATTCATGTTGGTAGCTTTGGTGACACCATCCAACCATCTCGTCCTCTGTTGTCCCCTTCTCCTCTTGCCTTTACACTTTTCCAGCATCAAGGTCTTTTCCAAGGAGTCTTTTCATCTCACGAGATGGCCAAAGTATCGGAGCCACAGCTTCCACATACAACTACTCATGCATGGCAAGAAGGCTATGGCATGACAAGACAATTCTGTTGGAATTTTTGAGATCCCTATGCTATTGTAGTTATTTTTTTATTATATTGTTAGATATTTTGTTTATTATGTTCTGGTTTATATAATTTACTTCAACTAAGCCACCAGGTGGCAATCCTTGGTCTCCTTTCAGGTTTTTGATTTTGTTTGTTTGTGGTATTATATACACATTCTTTTATTATTTTAGTTTGTATGTTCTGTTTGATTATATAAACTGCTAAAAGGAGTACGTTACTAAGTCGGGTGGCCTAGAAGCTCAATAAACAAATAAAATAAATAAATTCCAGATATGAGGTCATTCATCACAACTGAACATTCACGGTTCAGACAATTTCTCCAAAATAGCTGATTGTTGCTTAGCTAGATATTTCACCAAAACTACAGTGCCTCTGTTTATTTTCTTTTTACATATATTCCTTTTCAGTAAGTGGCAGAAAATACACTTCAAAGAGATAATGAGCACTGTGCTTTATTTATTTATTTGATTTATATTCTATCTTTGTTTCTGTGTTGTGCCCAAGCCGGTTATTGTCAAGAAACTGGAATGTAAGAAATGTGAACTGTGAACAAGGTCCTCTCTAAGATGCGCACCTGCATGCATGCGACTCTACTCAACTTCCACACAGCCTTCCTCTTCCTCTGTGCACCAACAGTGATCAGTTTCATCCTTTTGGTTCCAGTCACGATGGAACCCTACATGTGTAGCAGAATTGGGTGTGCACGGGGGGGGGGCAAAGAGGGAGGTTGACTCTGAATGTTTATTCATTTGACTTGTGATTGTGAGAGTTTGATACAGTGGACCCTTGACTTACAGACGGCTTGACTTACAGACTTTTTGAGTTACAGACTTCTCTGGCCGCGAAATTTAGGTTTGACTTGCAGCCTGAGATTTGACTTACAGACCAGAAAAAAACCAAAATGGAACAAAAACGGCCTGTTACGGGGTTAATCTGTTTTCAATGCACTGTAGCTCAATGGAGACTTGACCTACAGACTTTTTGACTTGCAGCCACCGTTCCAATACGGATTAATTCTGTAAGTCAAGGGTCCACTGTACTGCCTGGACTGTATTTTCCCTGCCTTCCCTGAACCTTTCTTGACCTAAGAAAAAAAGAAACAAAATATCCCCCTCTAGTGGTTGAAGGAGGAATAGCAGCTTCCTATTAATTTCTATGGACGGAAAAGAGCAGATACGGATCAAATGGTTTTCAATGCATTCCTATGGGAAATGCAGATTTGACCTGAGAACTTTTTGACTTGAGAACCGCCTTCCAATACGGATTAAGTTCTCAAGTCAAGACCCCACTGTATTAGCCAAATGACAAAGGGTGAGAAACCCATTTAAAAAGCGGTGGGGTGGGGGCGAGTTGCCTCAGAGGATCACTTCCGAGGATTCTTTGAAATGTAAACCTCAGTTTCTTGACCTCAAGTCAGATGGGGTAAACAATAACGAGAAAAGACCATTCAGGAGAATGATTAATCATCTGCCTTTAGGCTATAAACATTCAGCCCTAAGGTGTACAGTAGTTAGAATAGCAAGAAACTTGTTATTTTCTGTGTGTAATTTCCTTGTCAAACTCCAATGCCTGTTTATTTTTGTGTGTTATTTTCACGTGAGTTTGTATTTGATCCTGTACTCATTTTTGTTTAACTCTTTATATTCTTTACTAATAAACTTCAACTCCTTCCTTGCCTTAGAATAATTTTTGGGGTACTGAAGACATACATAGGCTCCGAATCCAGATCCTTAGCTCTTGGGTACCTACTGAGCATTTGTTGAGTATTTTGTGGGCAGACTTTTAGTCTAACAGTTTGAAGTTTCCTAATCGGATCTGGCAGGGCTGGGGTGGCAGCAAAATTAAAAGCAAGTCACCTTTGACAGTCCAGCAGGTACTCCCCTCTAACAATCTTCTTGGGTTATACTGCAGCCCAAGGAAAAGATGGTGAGGACCAAGGAGACCACTGGATAAGGACTCCAAAGGATCCAGTCTTGTGACAGTTCCTTAATCACAGTCTTGTGAAATATGGGGAGCAATAGAGTATGTCCACTTCAATTATGGTAATAATGTCTAATTGTGATAATATATGTGTATATTATTTTAAATCAGCATATGCAAACTTAATGCAAAGATGTCCTCTGTTTTGATGTTATGTCCTCCTCTTTGGCAATGGAATTGGCCATTATAACAACAAACCTTTTTATCATTAAGTCAGTGTTTCCCACCCCTGCAAGAGGTTGTGGGAACAAGTCACATATTATTGCTACATGCTGGAGTAGGGCAAATGATCATCTTTTGTATCACCTTCCAGATCTCTTTGTTTCTCAAACTATAAATAATAGGGTTGAAGAGTGGGACAAAGAAAGCGTAGATCACAGCTATGATCCTGTCATAATGGACCGATGTCATCCAACTCAGGCGCATGTACATGAAACTAATGGTGCCAAAAAAAATGAGAACCACAGTAAGGTGTGAGGCACAGGTGGAAAAAGCCTTCTGACGGCCTTCTGAGTTCTGGATATTGAGAATAACTTTCAATATTTTTGTGTATGAAAGAAGGATAAGAAAAACGGGGACCATGATGACAACAGTATGGAGGGAGAAATCTACCACAATGTTGGGTGTTATGTCCGTACAGGCCAGGCTGATGACTGGAGGGAAATCACAGAATATGTGATTTATATGTTTGGACTGACAGAAGGGCAACCAGGCAGTCAAGATGATTTCTGATAAAGGGCAGGCAAAGCCACAAAGGCAGCACACCAGCACAAGTTGGCAGCAAAGTTTGGTTGTCATGATAGTTGCATAATTTAACGGTTTGCAGATGGCTAAGTATCGGTCATAAGCCATTGCTGTAAGCAAACATGCCTCTGAGATGCCCAGGCTGTGGAAGAAATAGATCTGCAGAAGGCAGCCACTGAAGGAGATGGACTTTTTGCTTCTCAGAAGGTCTACCAGGATCCTAGGCATGGTGACCGTTGTGTAGGACACCTCCAAGACCGCCAATACAGCAATTAAGAAATACATAGGAATGTGAAGATGTGGGGTGGTATAGATGATGAAGAAGATGGTGGCATTGGCTGTCAGGATGAGCAGGTAGATCACAAGTAAGAAGATAAAGAAGAGTACAGCATAGTCCTCCACGGCAAGAAATCCAACCAGCTCAAATTCAGTTGCTAATGTGTCATTGGTAGATTCCACCTGCATTCTGGAAAAGCTAATCTAGAAAAGAAAAAGAAAGAGAAGAGGGGGAGGATTTTTGGAGTGGGGACATAAATGTAGATCTATGAAGATGACAAGCTCTAGAAGGACATAGATTTCATGTGCCTGTCAAAATTTTATAGTACTGTATTGGTAATATTTTGAGGGTTATTGTTACATAATCGCTTATGATTTAGGGACCAGACCAAAGTTCTTAATGATAGCTCTGCCAACTTCATTAAGTAGCATTACAGATGAATGTTCTCTCCCACTGCTCTCCATAGTAGTTACTGTTATGGTAGCCTATATCTGTGAGGATTCTCAGTCATCTAGGTGAGGTTATCTGAAAGTTGAGTCATGGCAACATATTTAAACAACAACAATAAAACCCTCTTTACCTTCCTGGCATTCGAAATACAACTAAAAATATTTTTTTTGATGCAACAAGCGCATTCTGCTCCCAACATTGTCTCAGCACCCAAAACATATCACAAGACAAGACAATAAGGCTACATTTCCCCTCCACCATTTTATAAGGTTACACACCTTACAAATATATAAGCCACATTTTCTATGATTTCCCTCCAGTAATCAGCCTGGCCTGTACAGGCATGTGTTTCAAGCAAATAGTTATTTGTAACTTGTTACTTCTAAACTCTGAGCATAACATCCCTCACAGGTTTGTGGTCAGAATAAAAAGTGTATGGATATGAGAGAAGGGGGGGGGGGTAAACAGGAAAAATAAAAGCATTGACTAACCAAAGGTAAAAAGACTTACAGTCATGGCCAGAAATATTGGCACCCTTGCAATTCTGTCAGAAAATGCAACCCTTCGCTCAGAAAAGCATTGCAAATATTTTGGTACTCATTGCATTGGAACAACAACAACAACAACAACAACAACAACAACAACAACAACAACAACAACAACAACAACAACAACAACAACAACAACAACAAACCAGAGAAGAAAAGTCAAATCTGATACAATCCCACACAGAAACCCAAAAATGCACTGGCCAAAATTATTGGCACGCTGTCTAAATTGTAAAAAATAATTGCTTTTCAAGCATGTGATGCTCCTTTAATTTGTATTTAGACTCACATGTCGCAAATAAGAGGTGTGGGCAATATAGTAATCACACTTGTAACCAGTTAAGATAGAGAAAAGCTGACTCAACCTTTGTGTTGGTGTGATACTCAGCATGGATAAAAGAATGAAATGTAAAGAGTTGTCTGTGGATTTGAGAGAAAATTTGTGGAAAAACATCGACGGTCTCAAGACTACAAGTCCATCTCCAGAGATCTTAAATTTCCTATGTCCACTGTGCGCAATATCATCAAGAGGTTTACAGCCCATGGCACTGTAGCTAACCTCCCTGGACGTGGACAGAAGAGCAAAATTACTGAAAGATTGCAATGAAGGGTTGTTCATACGGCAGATACAGAACCCAGATTAACTTCCCAACAAATTCAAGCTGATCTGCAGACACAGGGTACAACAGTGTCAGCTCGCACTATCCGTCGCCATCTGAATGGATGGTAGGAGACCCAGGAGGACACCACTGCTGACTCAAAGGCATAAAAAAGCAAGACTGGAGAATTCCAAAATGTATGTGACAAAACCACAATCCTTCTGGGAGAACATACTGTGGACAGATGAGACAAAAGTAGAGCTTTTTGTTCAAGGACATCATGACACTGTTTACAGAAAAAGAAATGAGGGATTCAAAGAAAAGAACACAGTCCCGGCAGTCAAACGTGGTGGAGGTTCAAAGATGTTTTGGGGCTTCTTTGCTGCTTCTGGCACTGGTTGCCTTGACTGTGTGAACGGTATCATGAAATCTGATGATTACCAAATAATTTTGGGGTGCAACATAGTGGCCAGTGTCAGAAAGCTGCATCTCCACGAGAGGTCATGGGCTTTCCAGTAGAACAATGACCCGAAACACACTTCCGAAAGCACTCAGAAATGGTTACAAACAAAGTTCTGGGGATTTCTGAAATGGCTACCAATGAGTCCAGATCTGAATCCCATAGGACACCCATGGAGAGATCTCAAAACAGTAGTTGGGAGAAGGCATCCTTCAAATCTGAAGACCTTGGAGCAGTTTGCAAAAGAAGAGTAGTCCAAAATTCCAGTAGAGAAACTCACTTCATAGTTACAGGAAATTGATTTCCGTTATTTTTTCCAAAGGGGGTGCTACCAAATATTAAGTTAAGGGTGCCAATAATTTTGGCCAGTGCATTCTTGGATTGCTATGTGGGATTGTATCAGATTTGACTTTTCTTCTCTGTCTTTTTGTGTTGTTCCAACACAAACCAAAGAAATGAACAAATGAGTACCAAAACATTTGCAACTGCAACAATTTGCTAAGAGAAGGGTTGCATTTTCTGACAGAATTGCAAGGGTGCCAATATTTTTGGCCATGACTGTATTTGATAACATTTCCAAAATTAAAAAAAAAAAAAAAACAGCTATAGAAAAAAACAAGGCACCCGGTATGACTTCATGCTATTTGTGAAAAATGAATAGAGATGAAGTAAGCAGTGACTATGATGGGACAGGCTATTTTTTTAACAGGCAGAAGCCCATCCTGAAAGCATGTAGATGATGCAAAGGTTGATAAACTAGAATTTACAAGATTTTAATTAACAGGTATCATGAGGTGGACACTGATCTGAAGATACCTCACGCTTCCAGGCAACTGTTCTACCTGTGCAACACCTCACATAAAATCAGATTGTACATTTAATTAAATACAATGTGTGCGATCATTCCTTTTTTACAGTCAAGTGACCATACACCACCAGCATCCGTCCACAGATTTAGATGAGAACTATTGTATAAAGGTGGATACACATTACCCCTGCCCTGCAGAAAGTCTTTGTTTCAATACTGCCCTCCTCCCAGCATATGGGAATTTAATTTGGTGAGGAGAATACACTTAAAAAACAAAACTTGTCCTCCTCCAGCATTTGCTACAGGTCTCCACAAGGCACAATTAAAAATCAACGACATACAAATATAAAAGCACACATCTTTAAGCAGGTAGAATATTACAATAGGAAGGGAGGGAGGGAAGGTATAAAGCTGGATAAAAAAAATCTTGTTCTTTGAGCAAACTATAGCTCTCTTCTGCAATGCCCACACCTTTTGATGCCGGGGCAGAAAACCCCATTCATGCCTCCTGCCCCAATAATATCTTTAAAAAAATCTTAACAATTTGCTGCTTTTCACAAGACAGAAAACTAGCTGCCTGAAGTGGCTGCCTGCCTCCTGCTGCAAAATGCTATGGGTTGCCTTGCTGATACAGTGAAAGAAAGAAAGAAAGAAAGAAAGAAAGAAAGAAAGAAAGAAAGAAAGAAAGAAAGAAAGAAAGAAAGAAAGAAAGAAAGAAAGAAAGAAAGAAAGAAAGAAAGAAAGAAAAGAAAAGAAAAGAAAAGAAAAGAAAAACCTTGAGTAACACTTCTCTCTTTCTCCTTTTCCCTCTTACACATGCTCACACACAAACAGATCTTAATATAATACATCTTTTTTAAATAGATAAAGGCATGTAATACCTGAGTTCATCATCTGCAGAAGACAGGTTTAGTTCATTTAGGAGGGATAAATAAAACTCTTTCCCAAGGCCCTCTAAGGGACTGTAATTATTCTCAAGACTGTTGATTATTCAGAAGGGAGGGGGTTCACCTCAGAAAGAAAGAGTCAAAGTAATAAAACACAGTGAGCTCTGATACTATTGGGAGGAAATTGTTAACCTTAACGCTTTCAAATCTCATATTTAAACAGCTGTATGGAGCTTCTCCAGAAGGCACACACAAGACTTACTTTTTAAGTGATGGCTAGAGAAGGGCACAAACCAGAAAAATGACTAATCGAGGTGGCTCGTGGTTCATGGCACCATGAACCACCCCTAAACCCAGAGAAAATGAACTGGTTCGTAATTTGTTTTTTCAGGTTTGTGCCTAGGGGGAGGGGAACCTAACAACCCTTCCCCCTTCCCCATCACCTCTCTACCTGCTCCTTCTGCATCATCATCCTCTTCCTCCTCCGCCACTGCCATCTTCAGTGACAGAAGCCTAGCATCCCTCCTGGGAGCCAGGCCTGCTGTCTCTGTGCATGCGCTGGCCTAGAACTGATCAAACCCCTCCTTCTCTATCTCACTTAACTTGAAAGCCGTATTAGGGTCACTATAAGTCGGTTCTCACTTGACAGCACTGAACAACACCCCCCCCCCGAAGGTAAAGCAGGGCTTTGACATTGATCAAGTTAGCCTTTGGTTGCACCATTAATCTGTTGGGGCACAGAAGGAGGGGGAAAGGCACCAAAGCGATCCCCCAGCTCCGACGGGTGGAGGAGGAGCCAGCAGGCCAGATAGAATAGCAAGGTGGGCCGGATGTGGCCCATGGGCCATAGTTTGAGGACCCCTGAGCTAGAGACTGCCTGCTCACTATCTTCCTCCCCAGCATGGTGAGAAACCTTCCATTTCAAATCAACTTGCTTCCAAGATACAGTATTTTCAATTACAACTACCATTATCCTTAAGTATAAGGCCTGTTGGTGAGGTCTGACATAGTTCACGCTTCTGAAGAATCTTTGCTGGTGGAAACTGAACTAAAATGTAATACAGTTAGTATATTTGAAATTGCATCTATACATACACGTTAATATATTTATTTCTTTATTTCTTTTATGCACTGTCCCATTCGTGCACAGCACTATTCTGGGTGGCGTACATATAAAAACAACAAATATCATAAAACAATAACCTAAGATTTTTTAAAAAATCCAAAATAACAACCAGCAGACATTAGATCGGCATTGAATTCAGATGGCACAGTGTATCCAAGCCTCACCGCAGCGCTGAATCAATTCAAGAGGGGCTGCCTTCGAAGACCTCTCAAAAGAGAACATCTTTAGCAGTCTCTTAAAACTAGGGAGGGAAGGAGCCAGGTGTAGCTCAGCCAGGAGGCGATTCCAAAGATATGGTGCCACTGCCAAG